TCTGCGTTGTTTTTTTTAAAAAAAGTACCCCAAACTCGTCTGTAGGTGTTGGAATAGTGAGGCGCGGCTCCGTTTGACAGGGAGAGGGGCCCAGACCTGTCGGGATGCCCTGCGGCCCGGTCCCTGCCTCACAGGGCAACCAGGGACCCGGCAGCGGCAGCCCCCAGCCCCGCTCCCCCCCACAGACACGCCAAAACGCTGGGGAAAAAGAAAAAAACAAAAAAAGTATCTCTATTCAGAAGACTTTCAGGTGAGACTTAGAGCGCCATAAAAACAGCCTAATAGGACAAAGATTGAGGATGGAGCCAGACTTTTCAGCGGTTCCCAGTGAGAGGACGAGGGGCAATGGGCACAAGCTGGACCATGGGAAGTTCCACTCAAATCTGACGAAGAGCTTCTTTGGGGTGAGGGTGGCAGAGCCCTGGAAGAGGCTGCCCAGGGAGGGTGTGGAGTCCCCTTCTCTGGAGATCTTCAAGCCCCGCCTGGATGGAGCCCTGAGTGATGTGCTCTGGGCAACCCTGCTTTGGCAGGGGAGATGGACTGGATGGTCTCTAGAAGGTCCCTTCCAACTCTGACAATTCCGTGATCCCGTTTGGGACATGTATGTCTCTCACATAGTGTTCGACACCTACACTTGTAGCTCACCATCTTGGAGGTGAAGGGCTGGGGGGCTCTGGGGTAACTCCCCAGGAGGAGAAGCTGCTCTGCTGCCTTACAGACTGTAACCCCAAAGAACCAGCACCCCGTGCTGCTCATGTGACAGCACCCACCAGTTACAGTGACAATTCAGACCTCAGCTTAAGGACAGCATATGGCAATTAGTGCTGAAACTTAACACAGGGTATTAACTACAATCAGCTGGAGCTTTCTGCATTAAGCAGGGTACGCTCTGCAAGAAATACAAAGGCACCACACTTCTTGCTTATTGCACATAGAGTCAGCTATGTATCCAAATACTAAAGTCATGAGAGACAAATTCTCTCTTCCACCTCTCTGGTGAGCAGCCATAACAGATTAAAAATACACCAGATACGCACCTCTGGATTATCTAGTTGAGAATATATACTATAATGGTAAAGATGAGTAAAGCATTTTTTGAAGTCCTGTCATCGGTGGTTATTCTCCCCCCAAACACATCCCTACGGAATTCTAAGAGCACTGCACCATTGTATAGAGGGAGTATATAACTGAAATTGGTCTGTATTTGTTCAACAGCAAAATTATTAACATTTAAAAATATTTTACCTTTTTTCACCATATCTACTAAAGACATATGACGCATCAAGTCACTTTCAAATCAAGACTTCAAAAAAAAATTGCTTGTTTTACTGTTGCTTTTCAAGACAGACCCTAACTATAGTAGACCCCCCGAGAAGGTTATTATCTTACTCCAGGGTTTGCAAACCAGCGCATGGGAAATGCAACACTTTTAGTTTCATATTGAGCTTAAAGAGAAACTTCTGATTATTCTTTCAACATTATCTGCCTTCAAAGTGAAAATCAGAGGATGGACACCCTCTACACAACTAACATAAGCCAATTAAAATCTTAGTTCAAGCTCATTGGCAGGAATACCCAGGCTAGCTAAAAATTCCCCTGAAGTCCAATTAGAAGGCAACCTCTAACGACTGCATCTACTTTTGTTCCAAAAATAAAAGCGAAGACCAAATGAACCATATACTGATGAAAGCTGTAACAGCGCCACGTTGGTTTGAGTAAGAAGAATGCCTTTTAATGGCAGTACAAAGAATTGTGCAAAGGTTTCAAGAAGTAAAATAATTCAACTGCTGGGTTTTTTTTTTCTTTCTGCGTTTCAGAAAGAAACTAGCTGCAAACACTGCTCCTACAGCAAACATCCCAGTGCTGTGTGGCTACTCAAACGTGGGGCATTTGGTTCAGCCCACGTGCAAAATTCTTTTGTGTTTGGCTTTTTGAAGAACGGTGGCAGACTTGGTGGCCCTCCACAAACCTAATTTACAGACATTTTCTTTTGGTACCAAATCTATGCATTGCATGCAGACTTTGGGGAAAAAAAGGTCTAACAAAGCTGAGTTAATTAGTAATTAATTTTGTGCGTTTTATATTAATTGAGACAAATTCTTCATTTGATTGCAGTCTTCCTGGAGTACTTTGTGAAATAAGAGTCATGGTTCTAATTTCAAATGAACTCCACTGGAGATTTTCATTTACAGAAAGCAAATTTTCTATCTGCATTGTAAATAAATATAGTTTCACACTGACACTAAGTGCTTTCTATTTAACCTCTATACTGACTTGAAGTAGATTACAAAGAAAGAATATAAACAAGTATGTATATGTATATATGTATGTTATATATATCTAAAAAATACAAATCAAAGCCTGTTTATTTTTTTTAAAAATAACTATGTATTTTAATGTCACGCCAATTATATCTAAAAAGTACAAATCAAAGCCTGTTTATTTTTTTAAAATAACTATGTATTTTAATGTCACGCCAAGAAGACGCACAAAGCTCTATCTCTTTGTACATAAAAATTGGTCAAACCACAAAAAATACCTCTGGCCCATTACACGAGCTCCTTCCCTGAAGAGCCTGAAGATTTCATGTGAATAAATCTATCTACCAAAGAACAACTCTCTGGCTTTACTCTGGAGGAACACAAGCTGATGGCACTTGCCCACAGAAGCTACAGCCGTGAGGAGCCAGACTGTGGTTTTGGAGCCACAGCCACATGTTGAGGTTGTGTGTGTTTGCCTACGTGCACCAACATGTGAGCAAACACACCGGGAGTGGAGCAGGATTTGTGGGAGCCATTCTCCCTACACTTTGCTGCCTCAGGTGAAATTGCTGTCTGGAAGGGTAAAGAGGACGAAGAGGTCCATTACCTACTGTAATTTTGCCCTGTCCCAGTAACGCTCACACCAAGTATTAGGTGAGTAATCGTCCATCCTGATCCTCCTCCTATCAGCCCCCCTTTGCTACCTACCAGCCTCACTTAGTAAAATTTCCTGTTCTGCTCTTCCTATTTCCTTTCTTCAAAGGTTCCCCACTCTGCTGCTTTACTCCTGCATTTGCTCTTCACTTATTTAAACAACCCCTTCACCTTTTCATCGTTTTTCACCTCCTGTTTAATGGCATTGTGTTTTCCCTCAGAAGCAAAAGCAGGGCCTAAAATAGTCGCTTTGAGCAAAACACAGTTCTAAGCTTGTAATTATACCTAATATAAATACCATCCTGGAGTAGACATCTGGCTATAAATACACTGCTATCACTCTTCTCCTTTACGCCTCTCCAGGTCTTTTGGTCTTTTTACCACGCAAGCTCTTTGGACACCATGTCCCCCCAGATCTGCAGAGACCAGAGAAGCCTCTTGCTTCTCAACTGGGCAATTGCTGTGTCTTGTCCAACACCCCCATGAAGGACAACAATGAGACAACACACAGGGAACTGGGTTCTTCTACTCTCTGTTCATCAGGCTGCTGCTCCCTGAAAGCATTGCTCTTTGTAGCCAAAAAAAGATAATATATCTAGAGTAACAAAGACCTGAAGCTGCACTTAATATTTGAAAATACAAGAAATGTGGTAAAATCAGAGATGGCAATTTGGCTACAACTGAAATCCTGCACAGTCAGTGTAAGCAAGAGCTTTTGCTATTTTCATATATCCAAAGTGCTTTACTAACCATATACAAACAAAAGCCATTTGTTTCTCTTTCACATTGAGATAGACTTGTAGGGACACAGTGGCACACTGTTTTAATCCTCCCAGTCTCATGGAATCTCCTCATAATGTAACTATTTGTTCAAGATTTTTGTCTCTATTTATGCATTTTGAAAGCTCATCAGAACTCCCAGTAACTCGCATCCTACATTCCCACAATAAAGTTTTCAGTTTTAGTTTTCCTTTCTAATAGGGTTTAGTTTCAACGAGCCAAACGCACCCTCTGTTGGGCCAAGCACGTAATGACTTTTTTTCCAAGGTCATCTTTTTAACAGCAGGGTTTATCAAATCCTGTTCTGAAGGGTTGGTTTTTATGATTAACTGTGAACTAACGTACAAGTCTGAATCAATATTAGGCTAAAATAAAACCAAAGAATATTCAGTGCTACTAGACAGCCATTAGGAGATTTATGACCTTTTTCAAACACTGCTTACATTTGTAGGAGTCATAAATCTTTCCAGCGAGCACTGGAATTTCATTTATTGTAACCTAAAAAAGGCAAGTATATGTACTTCATTCCAGCATCAAAGCATAATTAACGCCCACTAACACTGCAATGCATTTTTTTTTTTTGAGCTGGACAAGGATTTCTAACTGGCCCATTAAAAAAGTGACACACAGTGCATTTTGGCTAAGGATGCTGGAGTAAACTCCCAATATAAAAGGGGGCTTATTTTACCTGATTTCTTCTTATTAGGGTGTTTCTAGGTAAGGGTGGGATTCAGTGAGGTAAAACTGGCTGGTGGATCAGAACAGAAAATGGCAAAAGGTAAGGTCTTAAACCAAAAATACGCTGAGGCAGGTACCCACGTGAAAAAAACCCTCAACTACTCAGCTGAGCAAAGGGCCCATGGGCTGGTGTTGCACCACTGGAGTCTCACACCACAGCCAGGGAGAAAGTTTGCGTAATACACACAACATCAGAATAAAACCAAGGAAACCAGGTGGTGAAGAGAGGTGAAGAGGGAACTGGGCTGCAGGAACTGCCAGCTGGGATGCAAAGTCAGCAGAATCTGCTAAGCGGTGGCTTTTCTGCAGCCCAAGAGGATATCCCATTTCAAACAGGTAAAAAGCACGCAGGTAGAACTGACTGCTGTGAGAGAAGACTTATCCAAGGCCTGTGCTTAACCACCCCTTTCACAGTGATATTTAATAAAACTGCATCGTGGTAAAATACTTTAGAGTAGTAAGAAAGAACTCCAAGGCCTGTGCTTAACCAACCCCTTTCACAGTGATATTTAATAAAATTGCATTATGGTAAAATACTTTAGAGTAGTAAGAAAGAACTCTTCCTACCTTGAATGTATCCAGCTGCTGATTAATCGTCTCTGTTTCCATTCCAACAGGACCTTGGGACTCTTCATGTTCTTCAGCTCTCCTAAGCAGACTCGAAAATTCTTTCAGCTTACTGTAAAACTCCTCTACACGGCTAATAGTCCCCTCCACTTGATCTTCCCTGGCTTTTGCTCTGTCGAGTAGCTTGTTGCACTGTTTATTTAAAGCTTCCAGGTCTCTTTTTATACCAACAAGATCAGGAGAATCTTCACCTTCTGTGGCTAGCATCATTTTACAGTTTTTATTAGCGTTTTCGTTATTCATTATAAGATCCTCCAGCTTTTTCAGGCAACATTTGATGTCCTTTCTCTGTGATTGCAGTACCTCGAGATCTCTCCCCACCGGAGCCATGCTATCAAGTTCATCATCAAACTCTGCAAACTGAGAGAACATCTCTCGGATCCTGTTTTGGAAATGGCCAATTCCTTGAAGTTTTGTCTCTAAAAACGAGCACCTATCTTCAACCTGCTGGCTCACGGCAGTGTATTCTTGCTCCAAAGATTCAGCTTGGAGCAGGAGGTCAGAAACACCAGCTGAATCAGAAGCTTCTACCACAAGGTCTTGGGCAACCTTCTTTGCTAGATCAACGTGAGGTTTTAAAGCCTGCAAAGCTTTCTGCTGGGCCTGCATCATCGTCAGGTGTTTGTTACTGAATGACTGAGGTCCAAGTAAGTTGTGAGCTTCCAGGTGCTCTTTGGCATTTTTAAGCTGTTTTTCAGTTTCCCTGGATGATTCCTGAAACTCTTTCAGCCTTTGTGCCATATTTTCCAAGCTCTCTCTTTTCTTATGTAACTGTTCTGTCACCACATTCACTTTCTGATTCAGCACCTTAGTTTCTTCTTGAACAACTTCTTTATCTGTTTGACTTGCATTGAGCAAACTTTCAGCAGTATTATTTAACAGCTCCACCATCCCATGGTGTTTATCCAGGTCCTTCTGCCAGGCCCTCACCTGAACAATAGAATTCTCTATTTCAACAGGGTTTATGCCAACTTTTAATTCACCCACGTTGCTTTGGCACTTCTCTATCCATGGCTGCAGATTTTCGACATGCTGCTTGTATTTGAGGGCTTTCTCCAGACAATCTGTTAATTTTTCTTGCCTTTCTTTTACCTGCTTATTCATTTCATCCCAGTTACTTCGGAGTGTGGCAATTTGGGATTGTAACGCTGCTTTGTCAGCTCCTTGAGTCTTCTGTAAGATACTTTCTCCTTCTGCAACAATTCTTTCGTATGAACTGATCTGATCAGTCATGGTCTTCTGAAAATCTTTCTGTTCTTCAATTAGTGATTGCAAGGCATCAAGTTTGGCTGACACGGGACGAGCCTGGTTCAGCTCTTCTTTCTTTTTGCCCAGCCAGGCTTGGAAGTCCTTAGATGTTTGCTGGAACTGATGGGAAGCGGCATACGCCGACTGGAGCTGCTGAACGTGGTTATCTACAAAAGAGAAGACAGCACAGAGGTTCATTATCAGAATTTGCCAATATTCAGTGAAGCCATAATAATTAATATTGATTCTATTAGGAATGAATATTCATGAAAGGAAGGACTGTCCTTAGTAGGTGGTGGTTGACTGGAAGGCAACCAAGATTTTTGCAAGGGACAGCCTTGTGCCCGTACTGCAGCAGAGCAGTGAAGGCATTTGGACACGAATCAGATGAGGTGAGTTTAGCCAACCTGTGTCTGCAGGATTCCCATTCAGGGAGTGAAAAACACACAGTTGTGTTGCGTGGTGTTATGGAGTGAAATCACAGGGAATATTAAGTAATCTAGCCTAGTATTGTCTAACTCCTGGCCTGCAGGCAATATGTGTTCTTAGAGAGATCCTTTGAAGTTCCTCGTGACCAGAGGAAATTAAAAAGCTAAAACTGAGGCTGTCAGGGAGAGCAAAGTATGATATTGCTTGCAGTGTATTACTTGCTCAGTTCTGCTGCTCACAGGGCAAGGGAAGGCTGCAGGCTACTGGCCCCCTTCTTTTACAGGCAGTTTTATACAATTACCGCTGCGCTTCACCAAGCCAGTAACTGGTGCTTGCCTAAAAATGACAATTTGGGTTAACACTCTGCACCTCTGCTGTTAGTTAGCTCAGTGAACAGCATCCTCTTTTGGTATTCTAATTCACTGAAGATGCACCTGAAGGAAGAGGTGAAAAAAGCAGCCCTGGTGTTGTGCTTCACATTCTCTCCAGAACTGTTCCCTACAGATCCCAAGTATCATTTTCACCTGCTCAAGGTACGGGAACCTTCCTACATTCTAACGTACAACTGTTTGGGAGTTGGATTGGAGAGAGAGCTGGCATTAGGCTCAGCTCACTCATCATCTCTGTAAAGACACGTAAGACTATGATGCTTTACTTTATGCCTTAGTTGCTATTTTCCTTTAAATAAATACTAACCTGATTTCTGCTCAAGATCCTTAAACGATTTTAAGATGCCATCTAATTGTCTCGTCAGTTCTGCTTTCAAATACTCTTCTCCAACCAGCGCTGACAGCTCTTCACAAAGAGCTCGAGCTGCATTTATATTCTTCATTTCCTGCTCTATTTCCTCCTTCATTTCTCTAGCAATTTCCAGCTGTTGTTTCACAGCATCAGGTTGTGTACTCACAGCCAGGCTGCTGCTTAGTTTGCTATCCAAGGCACTTAGCTTATCAGACAAACTTCTGAGTAGACTTTGATACTCTGTGCTTTTCACAATGGCTTGGTCAATTCGGTCACATCTGTTCCTCAGTTGGCCAGTGAGGCTGTCCCACTTCTGTGCCACAGCTGCCAGCTGCTCTTTCACAATCTCGTGGGAGGGTGGATGTTCACCAGGTCTCTTCAGGATCCCTTCACCAGCCACGGTTAACTGCTCGTATTGGGGCTTTCTGGTGTCAAACTCTTTGAGCAGAATCTGGGAAGAAAGAAAATTTTAAAAAGCATTTACCTCACAGAAAAAAAAAAAAAACCACAAACACCAGCAAAGTGCTTCTGACAAAACTCTTGTAGAATTTATTGTAGCTAAGATCTCACTGATTGAGTCACCAATCTCAGAATTCAAAACCCAGTGAAATGATTGTATCTTCTACACATAAACTGTGTTGTTTCCAAGCGTTTACGCCAAATAACCAGGAAAAATGAGGTTAATTTACACATCATCTAATAGAAATCCAATCAGCAGATGCAAGTAAACAATGAATTCTGTTAATACTACAGTAATTAAGTAACTGTACCAAGTAAAACAATCGCTATTTAGTTTCAAGCACTGTCGACAGTTTCAATATTTGTCTCTAGAACTTCAAAGAAGGTGTATTCTGACATAATAGTGCAATGTATTCCTTTAGAACAGAGAATATTTGGATAATTCACAAAATGACTGAATGTAAACTTTAAGACCTTTAAAGTTTACATCACTGGTTCCCAGTATTATTTTTTTTTTGACAGCAAGTCATAGTGCCTGCAGAAAAAGGAACCAATACAATTGTTTTACTTTACAGAACATTCTAAAGCCTTTCTTTTAAATTCAATTAGGTTTAACTTTTAAGGACTGTTAAGTGATACATTATAGTCTTATGCCAGCTGTCTAACTTTTTGAAGCACTTACAAACCAATATTAAGTCACTTTTACATAGTATTAGAATATAATTTGTTTAAAACACTTCATTTTAATCAACATTGATATGCCAGCTTTAATAATATTTTTGCAAAATGAGACTGCTATTTCTCATCACGGTTCAAAATAACTGGCAGCAACAGAAATGTTTGAAATTAAAATCTCTAGTTCCTGCAACTTGGTCCAATTTAACTTTTGCTTCCTTTGTCTGCAGTTTGCTGCATTTCTGTAAGTAAACTACTTTTTCCTTATACTTTTTCTTCTGTCTTTCACACTCTTGGCCCCATTACCTAGTCACAGTACTGCATTTCACTTGCCTTCGTGATTTTATTAGCTACTGGCACAGTCAAGTGAGTAAAATCTCAAAAAGCTAGTTCTAGAGCATAGACTGTATATGAGGACTGATTTTAAAATACAATCTCAAATGAATAAAACTTCAAAGGAACATTTTCATTCGACTATAGAGAAGCCACAGTACAGTGAAAACACAGAAACATATCAGAGGTTCAGTATCTCCTCAACATTTTTTTCCTTTAGCTGTTCTGATCTCTCTTCACTTTTATGATAATTTTTCTCTTGTAATTACTGTAGTCCAGTGTGACTTAAGCTGGTATTTCCTGATAAACAAACATAATAGCTCAAACTAACTGCGCTGTACTCTATCTAAATGCAAAACAGCACTTTGCTAATAGCAACAAAGCAGAAGAAACTTAATTAACTAATGCATATTGGCATGACTCACCTGAACCTGCTGCTTTTGTGTCTTCAGCATGTTAGGATCAATGGAGAGCGGTCCCAGCACGCTGACCATTAGCTCTTTTTCTACAAGCCAGTGCTTTAATTGGGCTTCTGTCGTATTGAACTGCGTCAAGTAATTCGAAGATTCCTCCAGTTTTTGTTGTCTTTCAGATGTAACTTGACTGAGGTATTGCCACTTGGAATCTAACAATGATAACGTTAACATATTGCATGCTTGTTCTAGCAGATGGGCTGTCAGACAGCAGACTCTATACGAAACATAAACAGAGCTCTCTAATAAGGCTCCTTGCTGATTAACTCCAGATGCCTTATTGCAGTGACTGGGCAGATACATCTTTTAACAGGCACATTCATACACACTCGGGCCAACGTCTGCACTTTAGCACAGCCACGTGCAGAATTTTTAGAGCAATGAATATACAACATGTAATAAAACTGGATGAGAATATTACTAAGTGAAGGACTGCCAAATTCAGGCGTCGGTCTCAAATGAGAGAAAAGCCAAAGAACTGTACTCAGGATAACTTAGGTGCCTGATTTAGACAGACAGAGATAGAAATCTTCCCGCTTATTCAGGAAAAAGAAAGACACTTTTCCAGGGGTGAGGAGAAACCCTAACTTAGTCTTCTCCTCTGAAAAAAGAGCACACTTCTTTGGAACGTTTGTATTAGGAGCCCGTGGGGATTAACTGCCTCATTTAAACATCAAAACCAGGCACTTAATGACAGGCAAATGAAATTACTTCTGCGCCCAGGTATTTCAAAAGCACCGTGTGAGCTCAGGTTCACACTTAGGCCAAGCTACAGTCTCTTCACCTTGTGGAAAGTGGCTTCCAGAGCAGCCCTTGAGCCTTACTGCCTTGTAACCTCCCCCTTCCCTCTGCAATACCATCAGTGCTTGCTCAGCCAGCCCTGATATTTTGCTAACTCTCCTTGTCCCCAGATCTCATCTGTGTTCTCTCAGTCTTTTTTCCCACTTCACTGCCTTTGACCTTTGCTCATTCTGTATTCATTCCCTTCCAACGCTACTTCAGTTCTCTCGAAGACCTTACCTGTTTCATGAAAAGTTAAGTCTTTCAGAGTTTCACTTAAAACAGGATATATGGGGAAAAAATCTCAGCTTCAAAATTAGTATTGGTGTAGCTATAGACACATCTATCAGTTTGAAACAAGATGGACCTATGATTTATTTAAAATACGACATGAAGAATTTTTAAAAGCTCTTCAAAATTATGCATTGCAGTATCTTAAAATCCATTGTCCAAACGTGGTCATTTCCAAGATTTTTTGGCAAAATTTACGGAATGACTTTTAGAAAATGGTAAAAAGCCACCAAAACCAATGACAAAAGCCGCTACCGCAGGGGGAAAAAGCACGCAGAGAAGCATTACCAACAACTCAAACTGTTCTTTCCATGAAATTAGAAGAAACTTAATTTGTTCCATTTTGTAAGAACAACATGTGTATCTGGAGCAATAACTGACCAGCCAGGTTTTAGCCACACGCTGTTTGGAAGAGATAAAGCCCTCTCAAACAGGGAGTCATCTGTAGCCCCTCTCAACTGCACTCATACACATTCGAAGCCCACGGACACCAGTGGAATTACTCCACATTTACACTCTCAGAAAGGGAGTTATTTCCACACAATCTAAAGGATAGAAGGGAGTGAGATATGAAAAATACTAGGGATTTATAATACGTTAAAAAAATGCATAATAAACCAACTTCCAAACAAGTCTGAGCTATAACACAGCTTTGCTGAAGTACCTATTTTATCCAGCACTTGTCTCCACTTGGGTGCCTCGGGGGAGTTGGGGTTCTTCTCCAGCAGCTCTGTCACTTTGTCCTTTAGTTCCTGCACTTTATTCGCACTTTGCTTTAATTCGGTTTCAAAAAGCTGCAAATTCAAGTGATAAAATAAACAAATAAGAGACTGGGAAGAACAGTAAAGTCTGAGTTTGAAGTCCGTAATAGTGAGATGCCAAGCACAGAGATAAACAATAAATATCTATAAGCACATGTATACTACATTTCTTACATAAATCTCAAAACACTTTGTAATGGCCTATGTTGCCGGTCAATTTTTTTTGGAAGAGACAACCTGACAGATTTAAATTATATTAATAATAATTATTATTATTGTTTCATTTGAACAAGTGACAGAACTAGAAGAATTCAGATAAATAAGATCCCCCAGGTCCCACCATATTCACATCCACTTGGAATCTGTTCTTTTACAGAAGGCAGAGCACAGTTCACAGCAGAAATAACCCAGCTGGCACCCACAGGAGTGTGGGGGAGCTTCACTTACCTCAGTGGGAGCCCTGCTGTCACAGACAGACTGCTTTTTAGATCTCCTAGAACTGTAATTTAAAGAGCACCATAGCTCAAAGTGTAGACCTAGCAGGAAACTGAGATGCCCCAGCAATTCCTAATTTGTGCCGTTCTTATAAACAGGAGTGAAGACTCCTTATGCAAAAAGGCTCCCTGGCAAAGGGCTCTTCTAGGAATATTCTGAAGTAACAAAGCTTACCTTATGGAACACATTTTAATTATCCCAAACCCACTAAAACAAACACTGACAAACCTGTGCTTGATTTAGAACTTTTACTAAAAGGTCCAACTGCACCAGAAGGATGCCTCTTGCCTGAGCATCCCTCAGTTTTCCACTTAGCTGTGTATACTCTTCTATTACTACACTGGGGGTAAGATGGTCATGTCAGCTTTGCACGTTCTCTGATCAAAAATAAGGAGCTAGCTTTCTTCCACGTGTAGTCTGCATTTTAGGACTGAATGTTATCAATGTCTAAGGAAAGTCAGTAGCTGTTCAGGTTAACTTTTAAGGGTGACCTGCCAAATATAAGTACCTCAGGTGAATCAAATTCCGTCCTCGTTATTCACAATCACAAGCAAGGAAAGAATTTTCCCTGACAGTTACATTTCCCTTCCAAAATGAACCTCTACACGTGTAAATCTCGTCCTTCATTGCTAGAGAGGCGTATGTCTCCAACACAGGACAGAGGCTTACTGCTGATTCAGTGCTTTTCTGCTATCAGTGTGACAGAGGGGAGGAGACTGTGGTGCAGCTCTGGAACTTAACAAGCGTGACGTGGCTCTGAAGAGAAACACTGCCCTGGAATAAGCATAAGCCGCTGCAGCTGCGGAGACCAGGAGGTCTGTGGAGTGTCAGTGAAACAGCAGCTGCAGAAACAGCTTTTGGACAGATACAGCCCTTCAGATCTAACAAGCCATCCAGTATGCACCTCTAAACCACTAAGGAGATCAAAAAAAAGTTTATTGCATAATCAATATAGCCTCACCTATTTAAACTGGCCACCAAAATGATTATTTTTTGACCTGCACAACTCCTCCTCTCTGACACGGTGCCCCTTTTACTCCACTGACACAGTTCATCAGATTTGCTCTAAGCCTGACTGGCATACTTACTGGGATTATTGAAATACTCTCTGCAACATTAAGCTAGGCTGAGATATCAGTTATGCAAATAGAATTTAATAACTGCAAGAAAGTGTTTTTGGAGGCACAAAGTACCTTATGTTGCTCAACTTGGGCTTTAACCGCTTCACTATCAGCTGGAGCAGCTTCCCAGTCTGATGCTGTTTTGTCCATTTTTTGCAACCACTGCATCATTGAGGTCGACTCTTCCTGAATATTCTGCATTTTTGAAAGCATGTTTTCTAGTTCTGAGATCTTTTCCTTCAATAAAACGCCCAAATCTTCATAACTGTGATTCACATCAGACATAGCTTGTTGAACAGCTGTCAGTTCTGCAGAAGGAGAGATGCCCAAAGCTTGTGTTAGAGGTTACAAGCCCTTCAGACAACACAGAGACTTCAAGAACTTCTAAACAGTCAGTGCTTTGAGTTAAGCAGCCAACAGTCCCCCAGACAAGAACCTGCTGGATGTGGTCAGAGCGATTTCTAGTTCACTCTACATGTGGTCACGCTGCAGCTGAATGACCTAATCCTGGGGTGTGAACTGCAGGTGCTGCTCATTTCACAGAAAATCATTCATTACTCCTCATTTCACAGAAAATCATCACTTTCATACACACAGGTACACAAATACATTACAATCTTTCTACCCGTTGTTATTTTTACTATTTTAAGCAAAAATTCCATGACGAAAAAGTTCAACGTACTGGACTAGAGTTCAGTTACTTATATATATGACAGCCTGACATTACTGCAGTCATATTTTACTCACATTTATGTGCCATTATTAATGTATTTTATCACTGAGAGAGCAGTGCAGGCAGACTGTGCCCTAAGCAGACTGCAGTTGAGGAGAACAGACACTGCAGACTCGGGCCATGGTAAGTGGCTATCCAGAAGCACAAAGTGCCCGTGTGAGCTCCTTTCTTTCTGTCAAGGGGCTGGTGACATAAAGTGATATAAATGTATGGCAAATGGGTGTCTTTGTATGGGTATGTTTGTGTGCATGCCTGGTGTGAATGCTGCTGAGTGTTAAAAAGTTTCAAACCATGTACACAGGTGCTAGAATTTTCTCAAAAGCCACACGTTACATTAAAATAGCTATCCCTGATACATTTATAGAAGCACCTACTGATTCAGAGACCACAGCCAAATTTGATCTGTCTTCAAAGAACATACCAACGTAGGTATTTTTACAATTAATTTTAATATCACATCCTAATGAATATAGTTTCCTTACTTGATGGTGATATGACTGGATAGCCAAAGGTAGGTATTTTTACAATTAATTTTAGTATCACGTCCTAATGAATATAGTTTCCTTACTTGATGGTGATATGACTGGATATTAGGAAAGAATTTTTCACAGAAAGAGTGGTCAGACACTGGAACAGGCTGCCCAGGGAGGTGGTGGAGTCACCATCCCCCGATGAGTTTAAGAGTCGGTTAGATGTGGTGTTGGGGGATATGGTGTGGGGGAGAACTTTGTAGAGTAGGGTGATAATTACAGAATCACAGAATCTTCTAGGTTGGAAGGGACCTCAAAGATCATCTTGTCCAACCATCAACCTAACTGACAAAAATAGACACCCACACAACAAACAAGAAGCATCACCATCACTAAACCAGACCTCCCAGCACCACATCATCAACCCATCTTTTGAACACCTCCAGGGATGGTGCCTCAACCACCTCCCTGGGCAGCCCATTCCAATGGCTGAGAACCCTTTTCAGTGAAAATAATTGGACTCGATGATCCCAAGGGTCTTTTCCAACCTGAATGATTCGATGATTCTATGAAATTTCAGTCTGGTACTGACTGCTACAAGCAGACTTACATGCCAAATTTTAAAAATACTTACATATTTAGAAGTGCATTTTTTTAATCACATCCTGAAATTTTTACTGACCTTTGTTTTTCAGGACATCCTGAGTTCCTGGAGCTCCTCCTTCTCCATTTAACATTGTGCCACCTGTGGATCAAGAGAGACCAAGTTCCATGCTTATCTGGGCCTTTTCCCACCAAAATCCCAACACTGCATTTCCTCTTCAAAAACAACACGATAAGAGCTCTTATTATAGTATTAAAGAAGTCTCTAAATGCTAACCTTGTAATAGCAAATATTTTATTTCAATTGTTTTATATATTTCAGGTTGTTTTATGTTTTAAGCTGCTCCAGCCAGCTAGCACCATCAGTGGTGCCACATATGCAGACCATATGCACGGCCAGGGGGTGTGCACATGGATACACGTGTAAGTGTGCACACAGGCATGATGTATAAGCAGTTCTACCCCTCTGAATACTATGCTAAATGAATGACTACAGTGGACAAAGGTCCATGCCCAGCTGTGAGGTCTACTCTCCTCCATATGGTTAACATCACTTCCTTCTTCTCCCCAAAGGGAACCTACTGAGAACATGGCTTCACCCAGCCATGCCTGGGCCAGCTGGCAACACAGACTCGGTTAACGGTTGGCCTCGAGGATCTTAAGGGTCTTTTCCAACCTAAATGATTCTGTGATTAAGCAGGACCTTACCCCTGCACAAAAAGCTATTTATACCAACCCAAATCCCTCCCTATCTTGTGTTGAGACCATGCTCCATGACAGGGACCGCACCGTGGAGTCCTTACTGTCACTCGGGGGCAGCCACTCACTCGCCCAGGCAGCCCTACTAATTAAACATCCTTTCAAAGCCTCTGGAAGGAGGGCTACGTGGGCTTTGGAAAAGGGGCACACGTTCAAGCCACGGAGAACGCCAAGGAGAATCACTTCCCGCTCTCCTGCGCATACGTATTCCCAGATGAGCAATTAACAGAGAAAGATTAACGGTTGCCTTGGAAAAGGCTACGCATCCACTCCACAGTACCAGCTGGACAGTGAGGACCACATTAGAGGCAGCTGGAGGATGGCAGCAGAAAATAAACCAGATAAGAGAAGGCACGGGCCCCAGCCCAGAGCCTTGTAAATCTTCATGGTCTATTAGCTGGACTCCAGCATTTCTAACTGTGATTAAGTGATACACAGTGCAGCTCTTGTCTAGGAGGGAGAATACTCTAGGCTGGAGGATTACAGCTGCTTTTCTATGCTAGTTATTTAATTATTTTTCTATTTGGATGCATAGGAGTAGAGAAAGGGGCAGAGAAAAGAGTCCGAATATCCCATATAAGGTTCAAAAATGTCCTTTGAAAGCTTTAAAATTTGAACAAGAATGAAACCAGAGGCAGCTACTACAAAGAGATGTGAAAAAGGAAGTGCTCTACTCTTGCCAAAGAGGTATTCTCAATTGGGGGAGGGAAGTCTCCATCCTCCCAGTCCTTTTCAGATGATTAGTGAAGGCCAACATGTTCAAATTGACTAGTTTTGGAAATAAATTCAAGAACTGACTGATGTGCTTATGGCTATTAAAAGACCCTTGGTACAACATGCCTTGAACGATGGCTTGGTTTCTGTAAAACAAATTAACGCTTAAACACTAGAATGCAGAAAAACATGGAAATAGATTTGCTGTCTTTAAAATCAGATTATTGGTAAAAAGGATTTAGCTAAAGCTCCAGACTGGAAACACATTTTGGCCCAAGAAAGTCACGCTAGGCTATGGAGCTGCTTCCCTTCCGTGCTGTTGTTCAACTAAAATACTGACTAGCATTAATTATGCTGTCATATTGGGATGATAATGTTTGCCTAGGCTCAATTTTTAGACAAACCATGTCCTTACCACCCTTCTAACAAAAACTCTACAACTCTTGAAAACTTTATGTGTTTGTTTGGGGTCACACAGAGCAGCCTTGTGGCCATGAAAGAAGTCTCTCTGTGCCAGCAAAGGTGTGTGGGTACATCAGGGTTTGCAAAAGAAGGGTTTGCATTTGTCCTGCTTGCAGACTTGGTGGGTGTGTGAAGCACTGAACACCTATCAGAATAAGTCCATTTCTCATTATCTGAACTTTGCTGGGATGAGATGAAGGCAAATGTGACACTATTAATTTTTGTCATTATCTGGGAATCATATAGTGAAGTAACAGCTTGAGGACCTGTTAATCATTTACATCAAAGGGCTCTTCTGCTGTTGGCAGCACAAAGCCATCAGAATGTACTGAATTACTGCAGCAGGGAGTTGAACAACAGTCACAGCAAACAAGGGTCGGAACAGACCTGGCTGACTGACTTCTCACAAGCCATAATGTTCAGAGAGCTATCCACGGGTGAGATATTTTTACCTTTAAGGTTTTAAAAACTCCTGAAATGTTAGGCTTACCTGGTTATACAAATGCATACCTGATTTTGCAACTGCTCTCAGTTTGGCAGGAGAAGTCACAGCAGTGATTAGGTTACACAGCAATGTTCCTCTGCTATTCATTTTCTGCAGTTCAGGTGCTTTTAATGTCCATTCATCTTTTAAAGTCTAATTAAGAAAAAGAGTAATTTGTCCATTACAAAACTGATTTCAGACTTAAGAGATCTAGTGTAGAGAAAGGAATAACCTTTCTATTTGGGAATCCCTTGCAGTATATCCAAACACAGAAAGGAAACAGGAATGTAAATGTAGACTGCAAGCTCCCTAATCCCAATTACTGGGGTTGCTTACCCCTTAAGTTTGTGCTTTTATGTTACTAATAGATGCCCTATTTCCTGCAGCCATATTTCACTTCTCATCTACAATGTCTTACCAATGTGTCTTCCAAAGGTTTCTTTAACTCCTCTGTATTCAGAGAGGGTTGCGCTGCTGGAATTCGTTCTGTTGTCTCTTTTATCCATTTCTTTAGTGATTCTACAAGGAGCTCAAAAGTATCCATTTGTTTCTGACAAGATGATACATCCTCCTCTCTATACAATTAAAGACAACAAAAGAAATTGAGCACTGAATCTCCGTATTCCTTCTGATAATTAAACCAACAGATATTATCAATCTGGTATTGCTATTCCTAAATTCAAAGAGCCGCAAAACCTAATTTTATGGAAATGAGCAGAATGTGGAAAATTTACTCTTGCTGTACAGGTAACTTACATGGAAGCTGTAATAATTTCTCTAGTTCTCCTTTGCAGCCTGATTCTAAACAGCACTCTACAGTAATTTGCAAAAGCAGCAATTGATATTCTATCAGAGAAGGGGAGAAGTATGGTTCTCTTAGAACTAACAAGACTCCCCTGAACGTCACAAAATTTAAAGAGTTACTTATCTTTACAGGCAACATGAGAGCTCTTGAACCAGACAAAGTATCTACAGAGACATTTCCAAACAGAATCTCTCTTTTATTTTTTTTTTTTTTTAATAAAGCCCCCTTCATACTCTGTGATGAACTGCAACCCTTTGAGATCGCATGCACGGGCCCCAGCCCAGAGCCTTGTAAATCTTCATGGTCTATTAGCTGGACTCCAGCATTTCTAACTGTGATTAAGTGATACACAGTGCAGCTCTTGTCTAGGAGGGAGAATACTCTAGGCTGGAGGATTACAGCTGCTTTTCTATGCTAGTTATTTAATTATTTTTCTATTTGGATGCATAGGAGTAGAGAAAGGGGCAGAGAAAAGAGTCCGAATATCCCATATAAGGTTCAAAAATGTCCTTTGAAAGCTTTAAAATTTGAACAAGAATGAAACCAGAGGCAGCTACTACAAAGAGATGTGAAAAAGGAAGTGCTCTACTCTTGCCAAAGAGGTATTCTCAATTGGGGGAGGGAAGTCTCCATCCTCCCAGTCCTTTTCAGATGATTAGTGAAGGCCAACACGTTCAAATTGACTAGTTTTGGAAATAAATTCAAGAACTGACTGAAGTGCTTATCGCTATTAAAAGACCCTTGGTACAACATGCCTTGAACGATGGCTTGGTTTCTGTAAAACAGATTAACACTTAAACACTAGAATGCAGAAAAACATGGAAATAGATTTGCTGTCTTTAAAATCAGATTATTGGTAAAAAGGGTTTAGCTAAAGCTCCAGACTGGAAACACATTTTGGCCCAAGAAAGTCACGCTAGGCTATGGAGCTGCTTCCCTTCCGTGCTGTTGTTCAACTAAAATACTGACTAGCATTAATTATGCTGTCATATTGGGATGATAATGTTTGCCTAGGCTCAATTTTTAGACAAACCATGTCCTTACCACCCTTCTAACAAAAACTCTACAACTCTTGAAAACTTTATGTGTTTGTTTGGGGTCACACAGAGCAGCCTTGTGGCCATGAAAGAAGTCTCTCTGTGCCAGCAAAGGTGTGTGGGTACATCAGGGTTTGCAAAAGAAGGGTTTGCATTTGTCCTGCTTGCAGACTTGGTGGGTGTGTGAAGCACTGAACACCTATCAGAATAAGTCCATTTCTCATTATCTGAACTTTGCTGGGATGAGATGAAGGCAAATGTGACACTATTAATTTTTGTCATTATCTGGGAATCATATAGTGAAGTAACAGCTTGAGGACCTGTTAATCATTTACATCAAAGGGCTCTTCTGCTGTTGGCAGCACAAAGCCATCAGAATGTACTGAATTACTGCAGCAGGGAGTTGAACAACAGTCACAGCAAACAAGGGTCGGAACAGACCTGGCTGACTGACTTCTCACAAGCCATAATGTTCAGAGAGCTATCCACGGGTGAGATATTTTTACCTTTAAGGTTTTAAAAACTCCTGAAATGTTAGGCTTACCTGGTTATACAAATGCATACCTGATTTTGCAACTGCTCTCAGTTTGGCAGGAGAAGTCACAGCAGTGATTAGGTTACACAGCAATGTTCCTCTGCTATTCATTTTCTGCAGTTCAGGTGCTTTTAATGTCCATTCATCTTTTAAAGTCTAGTTAAGAAAAAGAGTAATTTGTCCATTACAAAACTGATTTCAGACATAAGAGATCTAGTGTAGAGAAAGGAATAACCTTTCTATTTGGGAATCCCTTGCAGTATATCCAAACACAGAAAGGAAACAGGAATGTAAATGTAGACTGCAAGCTCCCTAATCCCAATTACTGGGGTTGCTTACCCCTTAAGTTTGTGCTTTTATGTTACTAATAGATGCCCTATTTCCTGCAGCCATATTTCACTTCTCATCTACAATGTCTTACCAATGTGTCTTCCAAAGGTTTCTTTAACTCCTCTGTATTCAGAGAGGGTTGCGCTGCTGGAATTCGTTCTGTTGTCTCTTTTATCCATTTCTTTAGTGATTCTACAAGGAGCTCAAAAGTATCCATTTGTTTCTGACAAGATGATACATCCTCCTCTCTATATAATCAAAGACAACAAAAGAAATTGAGCACTGAATCTCCGTATTCCTTCTGCTACAGAGACATTTCCAAACAGAATCTCTCTTTTATTTTTTTTTTTTTCTTTAATAAAGCCCCCTTCATACTCTGTGATGAACTGCAACCCTTTGAGATTGCATGCAAGAGGGTAACAGTCATCACAACATTCATGTTGTATTATCAGGAAAGGCAGAAACACTTTAATTATTCGACTTACTTTTCCTTTACAGTCTCCTCCACCTCTCTGAATTTCTTTGACAAAGCATTTACTTTTTCTAATACCAATGCTTTATCTCCAGGAAGAGCATGGAATGAAAGTTCTTCAAGAAGCTGCTGCAAAACTTCCAGATCCTTCTTACGTTTTGCCAATTCTACACTGGCTTCCTGCAAAACAGAATTACAGTCCTCCCATTAGACTTCAAAATCACTTGGTTCAAAATTAAATTCTTGATTTTAGCTAGCCAGCCAAAGTTGGGAAACAAGCATGCCTTATTTATTTTTCAGTCATTTACATGAGTTGGACTAGAAATGCACAATTTATACAAATATACAGTACCTGCACATACTGGGACACTTCACTGACATCCTTTCTTGGTGCCTCCGTCTCACCGAGTGCCTGGTTCTTCTCATCTAGAAACGACTGAAGTTTTTCTGACAGACTTTCAAATAACTCCACTTTAGTCTTCAACTCCTCTATTTTAATAAGCTTCTCTTTATGCTTGCGACTTGCTTCAGAAAACCGTCCTGCCAGTTCACTCATTTTAGCCTGCAGTGTGGATGCGGTGGATGGATCTGCCGTCTCCATGAACTTCTTCACTTTTTCATTTATAGCGTTTATACTGCTTTGGCGACCTGCAATGTCTTGTTCTAGCACCTAAAACAAACAAAAACCACTTTGTATTGCTTATAACTAAATTTGAAGAAGTGAAACTGGTCCAAGCAACAAATCAGTACAGTTAGACCATCAGTGTAGCTCTATCTACTTTAGCCACAAAAATCCTTATGCACAGTTTCACTTCATGCAACAGTCCTCTTTACAAAGTCATCTGAATCCATTAAAGGTGCCAAGCTAAGTTGTTTTTAATTCTTTCTTGAAATCTGAATTTTCAAACAAATAATTCTTCTTTCAGAGACTGGTACTTACAATGCTTTTACTAATAATATCCTGAATAGCAGCAGAATTCAAAGGCACTTGATCTTGTTCCTCAAGGCTCTTTTCAACTCCTTCCATCCAATCCAGCATTTCATCCAAACCATCCTGCACGCTCAGGGATCGCGTCAGAGTTACCTGCAGCTTCTCATTCCTTTCATTCACAGACTTGGATAAATTGTCATACCTCTCCACAATATCATCTGAGAAAAAAAAAAAAAGATATTTCAATTTTTTCCTTTAGCCAAATGAAGCTTTTAACTCATTTCACCAGCTCTCCCTAGGTAAGTACGAGTCAAAAATTGCCTACATCAGAACAAAGCAAAACCATCAGCTTTATTCAGTAAAAAACACACAAGCAAAGATCAAAAATCTCCAAATACAGCCAAGGAGCCCACAGGACAAGGGAGCAGCTTCCAGCTGTGCTCCTCAGCTTTTAGAAGCTGCTTCCCATGCAGCTCTAGCTTATGGCAGCTGTTGACTGTTCCCAAGAGATAAAATAGCAGAGTATTAAGACACTTCTACAATTATGTCTCTTATATTACTGTTAGAGCTGAAAGGCTCTTCCAGATGGTTCTGCATTAGACCTTTAACACTTTCCAGATACGCCTCTGGAAGTTATGAGTTTCAAGTACCTCCCATGGAGTTTCACCACCAACTCCAAAGTGGCAAACGCACAGTTGTTTTATTTTGTTTCTCTGCAAGTGACTTAAGAGACTCCAGTGAGAGACAGCTGTGTGATGCTCATGGAGACTCTCCAAACTTCAGACAGCGGTGAACGTCACGCTGTGCTACTTCTCACAACTGATAGGAAAGAGTACTGGGTGTAGGTAGTAAGGTTTTGGTAGTGGCAAGGTTTTTGGCCTCTGTGAGAAGATACAGGATTCCAGACAGCTCTAACTGATCCACCACAGGGCACAGCTGAGCTCCTGGGCCAAGGTGGCAGTGCCTCTGGGAAAACGTGTTTCAGAGATGGGAAAAATACTGCCTGGGACTAGAAGTGAGGGAAAAGAAAGTGTGGAAAAACAGCCCTCCAGAAATGAAGGTCAGAGAAGAAAGAGGAGGAAGAGGTGCTACCAGGCGTTGGAGCACAGCTTCCCCTGAAGCCTGGAGCAGACAACCACACTGCAGCACGTGGAGGACCCCACGCTGGAGGAGGTGGATGTTTCCTGAAGGTAACTCCTGTAGGGAGCCCACGCTGGAGCAAGATTATCCTGAAAGATGTCAAGCCTGTGGAGAGGACCCACGCTGGAGCAGGGCAAAGCAGGAAGAGGAAGCAGGAGCAGAGAGGAGCTGTTATGGACTGACCACTACCACCCATTCCCCATCCACCCCGCACCGCTTGGCGGGGAGGAGGCATGAGCAGGTGGGAAGGAAGGAGTAACAGTGAAAAGTAGTGAAAACAGTGAAAACAGTGAAAAGAAGGAGTAACTGTGAAAAAGAGCAGGGTGGGAGGAAGATGCTGCTTTAATTTGGCTTTGTTTCTCAGTATCAAAACCTATTTTATTTGGCAATAAATGAAACTCAATTTTCCCCAAGTCACGTCTGTCTTGCCCATGACAGCAATTGGTAAGCGGATCTCCCAGCCTTTATCTCAACCCATGGGCTTTTCCATCTTATTTTCTACCCTCATCCTGTTGGGGCAAGGGGGGAGAGAGATCAGATAGGTGGGCATCCTGCAGCCAGCCAAGGTCAACCCATCACAGACAGTTTCTTGAAGCCAGAAGGAAATAATTCCTTGGCTGAGCAAACTTCAAATAATTGCTTGGAAACAGACACTTGGAATCACGTTCCTTGAACCTCAACGTGCTCCTTCCTACTGGAGAATTTTTGATCCTCAGCAAATCACTGTTTGGCACTGCCTATCTGTAACATGAAAATTAAACATAACGCCCATTTCTGGAGAAAAAAAAAAAAAAAAAAAAAAAAGAGAAAGACAGCTTTTAAGTGAAGAGCAGAGGGATCAACGTAGGAGACAGACCAGCAATGAAGTCCCTGTGTTGCAATAGCTTATGACTCAACAAAACACAGAATTCAACAGTGACACAGGAATGTGGAAACTCTGTATTTTGTCTCTTCTGCACGTTCCTGCATGCAGAAACAAGTGATAAAAAGAGGTTTTAAGAAAAGTAAACATTTTACCCAGTGTTTTCTGAATCTCATCTTTGTCCGGTGTCAGCTCTCCCCTTGTATCCAGTAACACTTCAGCAGCTTTTTTCAGTTTTTCTACAGCAATTTGGTGGTTAGACACTTGTCCCTGAAGAACCTGGAAAATTCCACAATTATGAGTTATACTTTTTAATACAGCTACTAGTTACACATGCAAGGCTTGAGACAGCCCACAGAACCTGAATTTAGTGCTGGGAATAAACTAACTCAGTTTGTGACCCCTCCTTAAATAAAAACTTCACCAGTGGCTATGACTGCTGTTGACCTTCTGGCCCTTGTTTTAGTTTATTCACCATCTTTTTTATCTTCTGTTTTACAGTTTTCTCTGAATCAACTGATCTCTTGCATGTAACTTCAAAATGTGTTTTTTGATTCATTTGTTTTTAAAAAAACCACTTGTACAGACTCATATCCTACCCAAAAGAAAAATCAACATATTTTTTTCAACTCAGCATCAGAGAACAATTCAGGGGGAAAAACACACAGTCATCACCAGTAGTTACACATTCACCATCAGTTGGATTGACAAAGGATCAGGCTGATATCGCAGCGTAAACAGGCACAGCTTGGAACAAGCTGATTGCCTTCACAGTTTAGGAACCTCCTGGAGCCAGTGTCACTGCCTTTTGCCCGAGTTTGTCCATTTAACCAAGAAACACAAGTTTAGGAACTAGCCCAACCGTGAGTCGCTCCGGAATCAACAGAGAAAGACAGGAAGGCTGCACCAACTTCGGAAAATGGCTGTCTCCATTAATCATAGAATCACAGAATCATAGAATGGTCCAGGCCGAAAGGGACCTCCAAAGGTCATCTCCCCACAGTCAGCAGGGACACCCCCAACTAGACCAGGTTGCCCAGGGCCTCATCGAGCCTCACCTTGAATATCTCCAGGGAAGGGGCCTCAACCACCTCCCTGGGCAACCTGTTCCAGTGCTCCACCACCCTCACAGTGAAGAACCCTCTCCTAATCTCCAGCCTAAATCTGTTCCCCTCCAGCTTGAAGCCATTGCCCCTCGTCCTGTCACTGCAGGCCTTTCTAAACAGGCTCTCCCCAGCCTTCCTGTAGGCTCCCTTCAGGTACTGGAAGGCTGCCATTAGGTCTCCCCGCAGCCTCCTCTTCTCCAGGCTGAACAACCCCAGCTCCCTCAGCCTGTCCTGGTAGCAGAGGTGCTCCAACCCCCTGATCATCCTCATGGCCCTCCTCTGGACCCTCTCCATCAGGTCCATGTCCTTCTTATATTGAGGGCTCCAGACCTGCACACAGTGTTCCAGGTGAGGTCTCACCAGAGCAGAGTAAAGTGGAAGAATTACCTCTGATGATTTCAGGCCTCTGCGCTAGTGTATATCATCTAGATAATTCTAGATTCACTTGAACTTTATACAAGTCCAAATGAAGGGACCTCTCCTTTATTTTTTGATACACTAACCCAATGAACACATGACTCAAAAGGTAAGGCTATCTGCCCTGCCAGGACGAAGAGGTCACGTCAGCACTCAGCGCCAGTATCCCCAGTACATTGATACACCAGAACATAGGATGTCTTGCTGACCTGCCTGACACCATGAAACTCAGACCCAAAGAGGAACTAGAGAAATATACTCTGCTTGAAGTATATCTACTTGAAGCTACTTTCAAGTACATCTACTTGGAAAAAAAAAGCCAAAAACAAAAAACACCAACAAACAAACCAAAACAACCCAAAGAAAGGTAAAAAAACATACAAGAAAACCTTATACACTGACAGAAAGCAACCAAGCTGATGCCAGAGGCACTGAAGAATATTCTGAAGAACAGTTAATACCCATAAAATGATTAGACCCCACCCTGCTGCCAAGGTCTGTGTCTAGCTGGATTATCAGCTGCATGTGCTGGCTGCAAGGGACAGCTTTAACTTGCAACACCTGACTTCTTCAGAAACGCTCATTGTTTTGCTTTCATTAATTGGCTTGCTTATTGTTCAGCCTCCTGGTTCTTCTCTTCCTTTGAATCTTTTGACACTTTGTACCCTCTCCCTCCTTCCCAGCTCATATTCATTGAGTGCTCTTTTGTGTGGCAAGTAATCCATGGAGGCGTTTCATAAAAGAACCCCAGTACTCACTCCTTTTGTGTTACTTCCATGAAAATTGGCATTATACAGGATATAATTCGTTTTGGCATGAGGAACAAAAAGTTTAAATGAAGCTTCAAATTGTAATTGGTGTTATTCCTATTTTTCTAGTAGCTGGAAGCACAAACATATCTAAATTGTTCCACTGTTAGGAGTTCAAAATTCACACTTTTAATTTTGTTGTCTTACAAGGCACTGCTGCCCAGAGCCATTGACTGTCATTTGTCCACAGCAAACATTTCAGACCTGCATGGATACTCCACATGGCACAGACAAAAAAAGCCAGGAAACGCCTGACCAATAGCCTTGGTCATTAAAAAATAAATAGTTTTGCATTTTAATTACAGTATAGATGATTGAATACGTTTATGAAAATGTACGAGTCAGTTCAAAGACTACAGACTGTATGAAACTTTATGTAACTCACTTTACACTTAGGTTCCTAAAGCCTTCTGTAAACCTACATTTTATGCAATTAACTGGAGTTTTACCTTCACAAGTTCCATCATAACCTGTCTTGCCCCTACTAGGATTTACATAAAGTTGGGGGTTATTCCCTCAGGGTGGGGAAAAAAAAAAACCACACACCAAAAACCCACCAAAATGTCATTTTTCTTTGCAGTGCAAGTTATGTTACATTCAGTCTCTGCAGGGCATATAGTACTGGATACAACAAAGCAGGCACGCAGACCAGTCACACCACACTGTTTGTCCAGTGGGACCCCCTTCCTGATGCAGTGACACACAAATGTGAACAGAAAAAAGAGTCACAGCCAACAAACATCAACGTCTTCTCTATCAGGAACTCGGTCCCAAGCCCTACTCGACAACTAACTGGAGTCAAGGAACCCTTTCTAGGTTCAAAAACTTTCCAGATTTCACCTTCTCATTTGCTAAATGATGTGAAACACATCTTGTTTTCACCACTGCTAATGCCATCTCGGTCCCCCATTTCTTTTTCACCTTAGTGCTTTTCAGGTACCCCCTGGACAGCTGAATTTCACAACTATGAAAGTTGTACGCCCACGTGCAAGGCAAGAATTCCTGCAGCCTCGTGGATTACATTAGATTATCCTGTTTTTCACACCAAAATCAGGACGAAAATACTTCTGCTTTTTAAAGCTTTTCACCTTTGTTTCTTCTAGTTGTCTTTGGAGATTTTTGGGATCTGCTGCAATTGGCTCTGATAGTTGTTTGTTCACGGCTACTTCAGAGGCCTGGAGACCCGACAAAAGTCCGGATGAGGCATCTTCATAATGCTGATATTTATCCACCAGGTCTTTAAGGTTATTTCCAAGGATGCTACACTAAAAGATTAGAAAACAAACAAGCAAATACTGAGGCATTAAACTGTGAGCTGTGTGTCATAGAATCATAGAATCGTCTAGGTTGGAAGGGACCTTCAAGATCATCTGGTCCAACCATCAACCCAACTCTGACCAAAAAACATCACTAAACCATGTCCCCCAGCATCACATCAACCCGTCTTTTGAACACCTCCAGGGATGGTGCCTCAACCACTTCCCTGGGCAGCCCATTCCAAGGCTTGACAATCCTTTCCGGGTAAAATTTTTTCCTAATATCCAATCTGAATGATTTCAGGCCTCTGCGCTAGTGTATATCATCTAGATAATTCTAGATTCACTTGAACTTTATACAAGTCCAAATGAAGGGACCTCTCCTTTATTTTTTGATACACTAACCCAATGAACACATGACTCAAAAGGTAAGGCTATCTGCCCTGCCAGGACGAAGAGGTCACGTCAGCACTCAGCGCCAGTATCCCCAGTACATTGATACACCAGAACATAGGATGTCTTGCTGACCTGCCTGACACCATGAAACTCAGACCCAAAGAGGAACTAGAGAAATATACTCTGCTTGAAGTATATCTACTTGAAGCTACTTTCAAGTACATCTACTTGGAAAAAAAAAGCCAAAAACAAAAAACACCAACAAACAAACCAAAACAACCCAAAGAAAGGTAAAAAAACATACAAGAAAACCTTATACACTGACAGAAAGCAACCAAGCTGATGCCAGAGGCACTGAAGAATATTCTGAAGAACAGTTAATACCCATAAAATGATTAGACCCCACCCTGCTGCCAAGGTCTGTGTCTAGCTGGATTATCAGCTGCATGTGCTGGCTGCAAGGGACAGCTTTAACTTGCAACACCTGACTTCTTCAGAAACGCTCATTGTTTTGCTTTCATTAATTGGCTTGCTTATTGTTCAGCCTCCTGGTTCTTCTCTTCCTTTGAATCTTTTGACACTTTGTACCCTCTCCCTCCTTCCCAGCTCATATTCATTGAGTGCTCTTTTGTGTGGCAAGTAATCCATGGAGGCGTTTCATAAAAGAACCCCAGTACTCACTCCTTTTGTGTTACTTCCATGAAAATTGGCATTATACAGGATATAATTCGTTTTGGCATGAGGAACAAAAAGTTTAAATGAAGCTTCAAATTGTAATTGGTGTTATTCCTATTTTTCTAGTAGCTGGAAGCACAAACATATCTAAATTGTTCCACTGTTAGGAGTTCAAAATTCACACTTTTAATTTTGTTGTCTTACAAGGCACTGCTGCCCAGAGCCATTGACTGTCATTTGTCCACAGCAAACATTTCAGACCTGCATGGATACTCCACATGGCACAGACAAAAAAAGCCAGGAAACGCCTGACCAATAGCCTTGGTCATTAAAAAATAAATAGTTTTGCATTTTAATTACAGTATAGATGATTGAATACGTTTATGAAAATGTACGAGTCAGTTCAAAGACTACAGACTGTATGAAACTTTATGTAACTCACTTTACACTTAGGTTCCTAAAGCCTTCTGTAAACCTACATTTTATGCAATTAACTGGAGTTATACCTTCACAAGTTCCATCATAACCTGTCTTGCCCCTACTAGGATTTACATAAAGTTGGGGGTTATTCCCTCAGGGTGGGAAAAAAAAAAAAAACACACACCAAAAACCCACCAAAATGTCATTTTTCTTTGCAGTGCAAGTTATGTTACATTCAGTCTCTGCAGGGCATATAGTACTGGATACAACAAAGCAGGCACGCAGACCAGTCACACCACACTGTTTGTCCAGTGGGACCCCCTTCCTGATGCAGTGACACACAAATGTGAACAGAAAAAAGAGTCACAGCCAACAAACATCAACGTCTTCTCTATCAGGAACTCGGTCCCAAGCCCTACTCGACAACTAACTGGAGTCAAGGAACCCTTTCTAGGTTCAAAAACTTTCCAGATTTCACCTTCTCATTTGCTAAGTGATGTGAAACACATCTTGTTTTCACCACTGCTAATGCCATCTCGGTCCCCCATTTCTTTTTCACCTTAGTGCTTTTCAGGTACCCCCTGGACAGCTGAATTTCACAACTATGAAAGTTGTACGCCCACGTGCAAGGCAAGAATTCCTGCAGCCTCGTGGATTACATTAGATTATCCTGTTTTTCACACCAAAATCAGGACGAAAATACTTCTGCTTTTTAAAGCTTTTCACCTTTGTTTCTTCTAGTTGTCTTTGGAGATTTTTGGGATCTGCTGCAATTGGCTCTGATAGTTGTTTGTTCACGGCTACTTCAGAGGCCTGGAGACCCGACAAAAGTCCGGATGAGGCATCTTCATAATGCTGATATTTATCCACCAGGTCTTTAAGGTTATTTCCAAGGATGCTACACTAAAAGATTAGAAAACAAACAAGCAAATACTGAGGCATTAAACTGTGAGCTGTGTGTCATAGAATCATAGAATCGTCTAGGTTGGAAGGGACCTTCAAGATCATCTGGTCCAACCATCAACCCAACTCTGACCAAAAAACATCACTAAACCATGTCCCCCAGCATCACATCAACCCGTCTTTTGAACACCTCCAGGGATGGTGCCTCAACCACTTCCCTGGGCAGCCCATTCCAAGGCTTGACAATCCTTTCCGGGTAAAATTTTTTCCTAATATCCAATCTGAACCTGCCCTGGTGCAACTTGAGGCTGTTTCCTCTAGTCCTGTCGCCTGTTCCTTGGGAGAAGAGACCGACCCCCACCTCTCTACACCCTCCTTTCAGGGAGTTGTAGAGAGCAATAAGGTCACACCAGTCTCATCACAATATTTATCAACAGTTACTTTAAATATTTATCCTCTGAACCTTCCATACCCCGTATTTAATTTGCATTTGTATTTACACTGCAGTACATTTACACTCTATTTAATATTTACATTTAGTACTTGGTCTCCATCTGGTGGGCAAACATAGAATGCATTCATTTACATAACCAGTTAACTAAGAACTGACTTTAAGATTCGTCATATGCATGTGTGTGAATATACATTAAAAAAACAAGACAAACAATATGAATACTTATTAAAAGCAGGAAGTTTTACAAAAGGCAAAAAGGTTACAACAAACCCATTTACAGCTGGGAAGATCTCAGAAACTGTGGGAGATCTCAACTTTTAAAGTCTGTCCTTCGAGACTCCATTTAATAAGAAAAGTCTACTTTGTGTTGGGTTTGCTCTGCGTATTTATGGTCCAATATTTAAAACATGTCTATAACATGTCTATTACATCTGTGCTAAATGTATATATGGAAAGGATAGAATTTGGCAAGCGGACAAATCTGAGACCTCAAATCAAGCTGCTGTCATAGGATTTTTATGTGCATAAAAGAAAGACACATAAATGCTCTGAAAATTTTGTGATGAAATTTTTACATTCACACTCAAACAAATCCCATCAATCCACCGGAGGAAACGTAACACATTCATACAAGCTTTTAGCTTCACTGCTCACGTAAGTTAAGCAGGAATATGAAAATGAGCTTCTATGAATGGAGAATCTTCTTCACAAACTGTTTCAGAGAACAGGGTTTACAATGGGTTTGTAATCAAGCAATCAAATACCTGTCTTTATAGAACTTCTGAGCAAGAAAACATTAAAGAAATTAATATCCCCAAAGGTGGCAACCACTGCAGGCCAACACCGTATCAGTGGACACTAAGGCTCCACTAAGGAGTCTGAACCTATGGTCTTAGAAAATTGTACAAGGGCACAGTCAAAGGATACTGAGCAGCAGCTCCTACATGGTTCAAATAATAATTACCTCAAGTTTACAATTGCAGAAGATTAACAATATTGAACAACACTTGCATGCCTAGTGCTATCAACTAAGGTCACACTGGGGACAAACTACTTCAGGATACAAATCGAACTGACATCTTGAATGTTAATCTTGGCATAGTCTCTCTCTATACTCATTTTATTAGTAGGAAGCCAAGTAAATAAGCAGTTGTGGGAAATATCCCAAGGAAGATAAAGAAATATTAATGACCTAGAAGTATTACAATTTCTTTCCACCCCAAAATGTTACTGCAGCATCACGTGCTGTCATAAACTCAAAGAGTCTGTTTAAGGCTGGAAAGAACAACGTGGAAATCTGGTCTGATTTCTCCTTCAGAACACAAGGTAAAAGGTTTCATCCATTCAGGCTCAAGTAGTCTGGCACTTGAGCAGGTTTTCCAGAAAAGATCTTGTTCTGTTATCTAACTTTAAGAAGCAAAGAATGTACAACTTCCCACAGTATTTGTTTTATCAGCACACTTGAGCAGGTTTTCCAGAAAAGCACCTTGTTCTGTTATCTAACTTCAAGAGGCAAAGGATTTACAACTTCCCACAGTATTTGTTTTATCAGCTAACCCCTTTTTATACTGACTGCCAAATCAATTACCATACTAAGTAATAAAACTTACCTTTGTATAGAGAGATTTGAAACGATTTGAAGCAACATCCAGTTTATTCTGCACTTCAGCGTACGTCGCCGAAGTATCGATACCGTCTTTGTCAACCTTCACCCCATCTCTTTTGCTACATGACCTTGCAGCATCTAAAACTCTTTGTCCAGAAATCGTAATATACCGTAAATCACCTTTGTGAGATATAACATCTTCCGAAAAACTCTTCTGCCTTTTCAGTTTGACCATAATACCGCTGAAATCAGAGGCACCTGCTTCCAAATTGTCCAATTCTTGCTCTGCCTGCTGCAGCCAGGTTTCAAATTCACTATAGTCTGCATCGAATTTCTCAAGTTCTTCTCTTAGAGAATGAGTCAACTTCATTTTCCGTTCCGACTCAGCCAAAGCAGTCTCATACTGAGCCTTCAGCTCTTTCATGTTCCTTTGCATCTTGTCTTTTTCTTCTGGGGAAAGGTAGTGGCCTTGCTTCTCAAGCAGTGCCTGAGCAGACTGGGTTGCTATTATGACAGCCTGCTGCTGGGAAATTATTTTCTCATGTTGAGCCTACCAAAAAAAAAAAAAAACAAAACCAAAAAAACAACAAAAACATTATCACCAGCAGCTTCTCAGATGGTTCCAATCAGACCATTATTGTCTTGAAACCTCTACTGAATTCTGCCTAGAAACAACAAGGAAAACAAAGGCTCTCAAAAAGATAAAAAGCTTTTCTAATTTTCATATTATGTATTAAAAAATGTTTTGTGAATAATTTAAGTGAGAGCATGACTCCTCATCTTCATATTTCTGTGCACTTTCAAAATTTTACACAACATCCAATGGTTAATTTTAGGCAGATACACAGGCCATGACCAAAAGGGAGTCTTCAAATATCCCTGGAAGTCTGAATCTCATATGAACACCATGCTGTACTTCTAAAAAACAACTCTGTATAGTAAAGCTAGACATTATCAATCTCTTTACATTTTTTTCCTAAAAATTGTTTGCTTATTACTTAATATTTAGGGTAGAGTGCTTAGTGTAATCAAAATTTTCTTTATCTCTTGTCTCACAACAGGATTTATCACATAAAATTTCAAAGGTAGGCCACTTTCCAAATCAAATTTGTTCCATTTTCTTTTACATATATTGTAGCTGCCATTTCAGACAAACAGACCAAAAGGAGTGAAAGCATCAAACATTAAAAGGACAGATACTTTCTTCCTATATTTAATGAACAAACATTATATTTTTTTTTAATTTCATTTTTCAGTTTCAAGAGCAGTGATTCTTATCAAATATACTTGGACATAAAACAGGTCCGTTCAACTTTAAAAACTGAGACACAATTTACACATGTAAATTGTTTCAATCTCATAAAAAACAGTAAGTCATAGGAACTAGAACTATATGTCAATTGAAAACCTTATTTCGGGTACATTCTTTAAAAAAATCTCCATTCTTGAAGATCTTTTATTCCTATGAAAAATAGCTATGTAAAATAGACCGGTATGCTTTTCTTCCATGAGTACAGTGGGCAATTATCGTGGAGGCATTAGGTTCAGAAAAGAACAAAGATGTGGAAGTAAAAACTAAATTATTTCATTTTTTTAGGTTGAGGTTGTTTTTAATAATAATAATAAAGGAAATGCAAAATAGTATCAGCTATTGACATAATCATTTTCATCAGCATGTCCACCAAACCACAGCTGAAAGTTCTTGGTTGCCCAACTGTAAGTCAACAAAAGTCATACAACAAAGTTCGTATTATTTTAAATTATTAATCAGCTATTGGCATAATAATTTTCATCAGCATGTCCACCAAACCACAGCTGAAAGTTCTTGGTTGCCCAACTGTAAGTCAACAAAAGTCATAAAACAAAGTTCGTATTATTTTAAATTATTAAAATCATCTTACCTGGAAAATCTATTTTTAAAATGCTGTGCTGTGGTTTTATGTAACTCATTCTTGTGAAAGCCTTCAAATAGTGCTTTGCCCACGTGTTAAAGTTCTAGGGAATGAAGACTGTAATTCCAGCAAACTATTATTTGCAGCTGTTTGTAATCTGTTCACAGGGAACTGCTGGGGGTTGAATCATTTGGCTATTACAGAGACTTTGGAAAAAGTCACATAAAAGCTATGACCTTATGTTGCTGCTTTTTGCATTTTACTTACCTGCATTAATTTATCACTATAAGAATTAAGAAGAGGCTCATCATCAGGGTTCTTAATGTTTACTTTGTAGAGTAGGGGGGTTTTTTTCTTTTTTTTTTTTTTTTACTGTCAGGGTTCTTAATATTTACCTTGTAGAGCATGGGGTTTTTTTCTTATTTTTTTTTCTTAAACAGTGAAAAAGTGACAAATGGGCAATACATTCTAACTACTGAAATTCCTGCAGTGACAAATTGGCAATACATTCTAACTACTGAAATTCCTGCCACCGTGTATCACTAACTCCCTAGTGCCTGTTCCAAAGTCTCTGACAGAAAGGATGAGATTGAATTCACTCACATTGTGAGGACTGACACACTTAGCACCTAAATGTGGAATAAACTCAGTACCGGTACCTTGACTTTCTGATACTGCTGGTTCAGATTATCTTCTGTGCTTCTTACTAGTCCATCCACCTCAGTTCCAAAGCCTTGCTGAATTTCCAGCAGATTCCCATTGACATCATCCTCCTCTCCTTCCAAACACTTCCCATCTCCCTCTTCAAAGTGTGTTCCATTCTGTTCTATCACTTGCTCAAACTTCCGGCCGTGCTCCGCTTCTTTATCCACATTTGATAACCAATCCAAGAGGTTTTCTATTGTATTTTTACTTTCTTCCAGCTGTTCTATGGCTGCAACCTACATTGAAAGTTCACAGTTTGAGTTTAGAAATCTTCTTCAGGCACAACAAAATACTATATGCAAACAGACCCTTTAAAATACACTAACATTAAACATTTTTGATTGACATATACATTGCTGTTTATTTTATAGATTAGTCACCCAAATTAAATATGATTTTAATCTCTCCAGAGGGTATTAATAATAAGTTGCAAGACTAATCCTGTAAGACACATTAGAAGTTTGAATAAAGGTATGAAATGGTTGCCTAAAAACCTTTTCTGTTTCCTGCTTAATTGCTGTTGTCATAGCTTTATCCAGTTCCTTTTTGGACTCTTCTGCCTTCTGGCTAAGGAGCAAACACTTTGTCTTAGCTTCATTCAGTTTCTGCTCAAGAATAGTCTTATCTTCTTGTGACAACTTTTCTCCACTCTCTTTCAAGAAGCTTTCAGTGTTTTTCACAATCTCTGCCAGTGTCTGGGCGCTCGTTCTCATGTCTTTCTGTATCTCCTTTTGAGAAAAAAGAAAACAAATAGAAGTTAGTTATTCACCAGATCTTCCCTATTAACTCTTGGATCTATCTCTGTTGTAGGGGTAAGCACAACACTGGTCCCTTTTAAATTGGGAGAGTACACAATACATCACTAAATTGCAGGCAGGATTATTAAGAAAATAAAATCAATTTAACACCTGACATTGTTGCTGCAGCTTAATATGTCCTTTTTTAAAAAAAAAATGCAAGTCTGTTGGCTTACACTCCTATTCAGACTGAGGCTGCTTTTTTCCTTTGTTTAGTAGCTCAAACATTGTATTTCCATGTACACAGAAGAGAACACACCTTATTTTTTAGATCTCAAGAGATACAAGTAAATCTGCTACGCTGTAGTCAGTAGGGTGAGTCTCCTGACAAATTCTATTCCATTACTATCCTAACAAAGCTGCGGAAAACGAGGGCACTGAATAAAAGTCAGTCAACTACAAGTTTCTTTCTCAGGGAGGAGTTTTTTCTTGGGTTTGTTCAGGCGAGAAACGCCATAAGAATATTTTTCTTTAATTATAATCAATCATCGTATTTCGATCTCCAAAGAATGTTTAAGTCCATTAAATTTCATGGAGGACAGACGTTTACTTTTAGTTCATCCAAGGCAGTTTGCCTCATCCTGTGATAGTCAGATAGAAAAAATCTGCCTCCCAGTCATCTCAGGGGAGCTTTAATTATAACAATGATTATGCTGTTGAATACATTCATTCAGTTACTGAAATAATTTAGTTGTTTTTTCTTTATATGCAGTGAACACCCGTGAAGCTGTAAGACAAAACATTTGATTCTCATTCTAGACTACAGATTTTTCAGCAATTATAGAATATAGTTTGGCAGCTAAAATTGCAGCTTAACGCTTCAGCAGGTATGTTAGAAAGATTTTGCTGGGGACACTGTATAAGATAAGATTCTCCTCCTCTGAAAAAGATCTCCGTGCTCCCTTTCAAGCAGCTCAGTAAGGATGAAAGCTCTGACTCCATCTATAAGAGACTTTTTAAAGCCCTGTTCCCCTCCTGAAACAGACTTCTACGATGGTGCCTACAAGAAATCAGTCAGCAAACAACACGTAGTCTGCTTGGCAGTCACAAAGTGCTGAGGGAGAAGACCCCAAGCAGATGCTGGATCAGTTCTTCACACCCATTTAAGTTCTATTTAGGCCATAAATTCTTAAGACAGGGAAGCAACACTAAGAGGTACCTCAGGGGTGTCTCTATGTTTCCACTCACTATAAGGAAAACTTTGACAAACTAGATGTGTTGTTGTGAAGATAAGTAAAGCAAGGCAAGGTCAATAAGGACATTTGTGCCTTTACAGGTAATTAAACCAGATTTGGAGTTCTACAGTACAGTAAACTACTACTAGGAGGAGGAGGAAGAAGGGTACCAAGTCATTCAGTCCTTCAACTGTCATAAGCTCACTCATTTCACGCCCATTTAAGTTCCATTTAGGCCATAAATTCTTAAGACAGGTAAGCAACACTAAGAGGTACCTCAGGGGTGTCTCTATCTTTCCACTCACTGTAAGGAAAACTTTGACAAACTAGATATGTTGCTTTGAAGATAAGTAAAGCAAGGCAAGGTCAATAAGGACATTTTATGCCTTTACAGGTAACTAAACCGGATTTGGAGCTCTACAGTACAGTAAACTACTACGAGGAGGAGGAGGAAGAAGAGTACCAAGTCATTCAGTCCTTCAACTGTCATAAACTCACTCACTCAGCACAGAGTAAAAGCTTATAGGTGACAGGACACAGCTGAAAAGCAGGGTCTCAAAAGGAAAATCAGCAAACTGAAAGGGCTGTTTCGTGAGGCCACCAGGGAGATAGCAAGCAACACCAGAAAAACCAGAATTCCAACCAAAGCAATAGCGAGGCGATAGAAAGCCTCGGGCAAGAGAAAGCCTGGCAGCAAAATTCTTCAAAATACTGTGAACAGAAATAAGCGATCCCCAATACAGTCAAAAAGGCTGGTTAAATGATTTTAGAGTAATCCACAAGTGTCATTTTATCACACCTGACAGGAACAACCTTAAGGTAATACACAATAAATTTCATGGCTGCTCCAAGAATGTTTCTGGAAGTCCACAGAGCAAATCCCCTCTTCTACTGCCTCTAGCTCCGACGGGTCTTTCCTCCCACAGGCACACAATGCAGTGTATTCAGTTTAAATGCACACCATTGAGCCTTTACTTTTGGTAGGTCAAACAAATCTATTTTCCTCTCCTCTCACATGACAGCCTTGTTATTCAACAAAAGAGTCCAGTCATTCCCCCCCTGCCCTCCATCTTCTTTAGCTGCTCGGAGGGGAACCGTGCGTACCTCCTGTTTGGTCTGGTATTGTTCCAGCTCAGCCTTGCTGTCTATGATAACAAGAGACTCTTGCTGTCCAATGAGTCGATTTTCAGTCTGCGTGAGCAAATCACAGATTTCCTGCAGCTTCTCTTTGCATTCCTGCTGCCGTTCAGCCACATCCTACATTAGAGCCAAACACAATCCAACGATAAAACAAAACCGTCCTCGCTTCAGGAGCTAACACATACTCAAATAGAAATCACCCTCCAACATCAATATTGCAAAGCAATCCCTGTAAAGTATGCTGTAAACATGATATAGCAGTGGTACACAGAGCAAGGTGAAGGTACAGAAGTGATGGATAAACCTCAAATACGTTGTAAGCAAAAGAGACCATGTTTGATGGAACTGCCGCCTAGGAGTCTGGCCATGCACACAGGGGAGAGGTGGAATCTCCAGACAGCAGGAGGGAAAATCCAGGCTCGTAACGGCTTGAAACCTGTGATAAACGTTATTAATTCTGAAAAAAGGACATCAAAACAGAGGTTAGTTGTGATTGCGAGTTAGCTCTTTTTGGTATGCAATACATGTTACCTGAGTAGGAAGTGTTGACCTTTTAAGCAGCAAAAAAGAACAGAACATGCAAGCTCGTTACTAAGTCCTAGAAATATTATCTGTGCCTTTCCTTTACTCACTTTTATGTTTCTTTCACAAAGTATGGTGGAAACAAACATTCTTAAAATGACAAAATACTAAGTCTTCAGAATGCTAAAACACCTTTGTTCTTAAAATGACAAAATACTACTAAGTCTTCAGAATGCTAAAACACCTTTCATTGTGCACAAACTGGGCCCTGAGGTGGTGATTCTGAGTCTTAACAATTCTTCTATGAGAGAAGAGGAGATGCGGTTACACTGCAGCATCTCATCAGCATCTCTGATTCCCAAAGGCCTCATCAGCATCTTTGACTCCCCAAAGACTCAACCTGTGACTCTACAAAGTTGTAGAGTCCATAAGTAGTTGGCTTATGCTGGCCAACTGCAGGCAGGCCACCTGAAGAGGTAACTGTCCCACCTTGACCCATAGCTTTCCCAGTGCCCATGCCTAAAATTGCAAATATCTTAGCTGATTTAGTCATATGTCTGTCCCTCTTACTTGTCTCTGTCAAACTAACAAGGATTTAAACAAATCTGATTCTTTGACTACAAAGACCTAGAAAAAAGGTGACATCAGCAGACCTGGCAAACCAGAGGAGGAGAAAGTCTTCAGCAGGACAGAAGTGATGAGCAATGGTGCGACAGCAAATTCATTGATCTATACAGCTGAAGCCAGAAGAGCTCACTGCTTTACTGCTAGAGCTGCTAAACAAACACCACCTGTGAAAAACCTCATGTAAAATTTCTCTTATTGCTAGAAGAAGCAGACCTGGTCACCTCAGGCTGTCCAGATTCTAATGCTCAAAACTGTGTCTGTCCATAATTTAATATCCTGTTTCTGAGACGGTACCAAGGAAAGCCCAAAATTATAATTCACCAAACCTGATCAATACCATCTTTGTAGAACTACGAATGTAGCTGTAGGAAAACCAAGAAGCTAGGAATACACTTAATAGTGCATGCTGGCATTAAAATTCCTCATCCAGAGACAAAACCCCCTCGGCACACATTTATACAGAAAGGCAAACCTTCTGATCACCCAGTTCTTGCGCTGCCTGTAACCGAGTCTCTAAATTTTCCACCCGAGATGTTATTGCTTCCTGTACTTCCTGAAAAGGTTTCTGGGTGGCATTTAAGAGCCTCAGCAGCTGTTTGCTCTGATTAGGAGAAAGATCTTGGGCATGTTCAGAAATGAAAAACTGAACGTCAAACGCAGCGGACTCCAGTTGGGTTTTTTCAGAGCCGAGCTCCGCAGCACTGCTCTGCAAAAGGGGAGAAGGAAATCATTACCAATGAAGACAAATTCAGTACAAATAAAACACAAGTATCACCACCCTCCGCATTTAGCTCCCATCCCAAAGTGCTTTTGGGAGCCAGTTTAGCCACAGTAAATCAAAACTCTCCGTCAGAATCATTCTGACACATTCAGATACAACATCTGAATTTGTGCACAGTTTGCCCCTGGGACATCCATGTCCAAGCAATAAAGAGATGACCTTGAACATCTCTATCTATTTGCTCTCTCATGGATGTCTGAGAACTGGCTTCAACTCTGGAAGACTTCTGGCAGGTTAGTCTAGGTCTGAAGACCCAGAAATGTTAAAATATTTCCTTGAAAGCATTCCTATTCTTAACTCCACAGTGAGAAGCCCCATTTTCAGCAGTGTGGCAAATCCTGCCCACAGCTATTCACTGTACCAGCACTGTAAAGTTACCGTGCATACTGCAATCCTATTAAAGCACACTAAAATAATGTCATTTTTATCATTCATACATACAGACCTGCAGGAACTTCACTAAAAACTGGGTCTGATTTGTTTTTCATGACTCATCTCACGGAGCGTGTAATGAAGAGGCTTAAAGTTCAGTAAAGATTTTGGATCTTATGCATAAAAATCCAATTTTAATTACTGAAATATTTATATTATAAATTACATTTCCAAAAGGGGTCAGCTTTATTGCAACAAACATAAGCAGAACCAATAGCTTTCTTAGTGAGCCAAACTCCATCAAAAATTTTTTCGTGATAAAAAGCAAATCAACAAGATTTTTTTTTACTGGATTATCAAGTAGTTGTCTTCCTAAGTAATTAATATTGCAACAAATATAAGAAGAACCAATAGCTTTCTCAGTGAACCTCTGAGGTCCCCTCCAACCACTACGATTCTGTGATAAAAAGCAAATCGACAAGATTTTTTTTTACTGCATTATCAAGTAGTTGTCTTCCTAAGTAATTAGTTCTAGCTGTCTATTTAAGCAATAGAGGTTAGTCAGCAGGTTTATAAAACCCAGCTAATAATTCATAGTAAGTAGTAATATTTGTCAGAAGCACCAACACCTGCCACAAAGGATACTTACTTTAAGTATCTGTAAACTTTTCTTCATCTCTTCTATATCATTAGTATTCGCTATGAACTCATTCACAATTTTACTCTTTTCTGTGATCCAGTCTGAAAATCTCTGCAGTTTGCTTAAAAGTTGCTGGTGTACTGCTCCAAGCTTAGACTAGAAAGGGAAATTATATATTTATTTATGATCCTGGAGTCTGGTCACATCCTCTATCCCATTAAATAAAACCACGTATGCATTTTTATATTAAGATAAAACAAAATAAAGCAAAACCAAACCCTTCTTTTTAGCTGAGTTATCTTGAAGAAAACCAAGGTTAAAACGTACGCTGATAAAAACATACCATTTCTGAGTCAACAGCACAGACAATTTGCTTTGCTCGTTTTGAAGATGTATCACAGACCACCAAAAATGCTTCCTGTGAACAGTCATAGCTTGTCTTCAACTCTTGGAGTTTCTCTTCAGGAATATCCCTGTGACAAAACTTTAAAAACTCTTCTGTCGACTTCAGGTCATTTTTTAGGATAATTGCAAAGGTAGCCAGTCTTGATTCAAATGACTACAAAGAGAATATATATAAAATGCATTAAGCTACTGAGCTAGAAAGACATTTAAACCTGAATTACTTTAATTATATTTGAAATCTCTCTTTTTTTTTTCTCAAAGGGCTTTTCCTAGCAAGCACCCCCAAAGTACAAGCATAAAGAGCACTTACCTCTAGTTGTTTCAGTTCATCTTTTAGTAGTTCCAGGTTATTGCTAACAGGCTGCTGGCTATCGAGGTGGCTTCTCATATCCTGCAGCGCTGCCAAATGGCCTCGCATTTTCTCTGTTAACTTTAAGCACTGCTGTACTCCATCGACCTGCAAATGGGTTTGAGTCAACGGCACAGACAATTTGCTTTGCTCTTTTTGAAGATGTATCACAGACCACCAAAAATGCTTCCTGTGAACAGTCATAGCTTGTCTTCAACTCTTGGAGTTTCTCTTCAGGAATATCCCTGTGACAAAACTTTAAAAACTCTTCTGTCGACTTCAGGTCATTTTTTAGGATAATTGCAAAGGTAGCCAGTCTTGATTCAAATGACTACAAAGAGAATATATATAAAATGCATTAAGCTACTGAGCTAGAAAGACATTTAAACCTGAATTACTTTAATTATATTTGAAATCTCTCTTTTTTTTTTCTCAAAGGGCTTTTCCTAGCAAGCACCCCCAAAGTACAAGCATAAAGAGCACTTACCTCTAGTTGTTTCAGTTCATCTTTTAGCAGTTCCAGGTTATTGCTAACAGGCTGCTGGCTATCGAGGTGGCTTTTCATATCCTGCAGCGCTGCCAAATGGCCTCGCATTTTCTCTGTTAACTTTAAGCACTGCTGTACTCCATCGACCTGCAAATGGGTTTGAACAACGAGAAAAGGTTTTCCAAACTGACAGACTTGAAAATAAGCAATAAAAGTCTTTGCTTTGATTACAATTCATTCTAAATTTATCATTTAATTTTTCAACCATTTTCCCAGTTTAATTATTCTCTCCAGCACTTGGAAGGACTCATGCAATTCCTTCACACACCAGGTTTGTTACTTACCATGTTAGTGGGGGTGTCTTCCAGGGCCGCTTCTTTTCTTTTGAGAACAGGCTCAGGAAAGCCTTTGGAGAAGCTGTCTGTCTTCCCATGCTCCTGGTCACTTTTCCAAGCACTGGCTGTGTCATCTGCTAACGTCTTCTCTTCACCAGTTTCTGATCCAAACTCGGATTGTTCTGTTGAGAAAAGAGTACAAAGCCCATCTACTTTGCCTTTCCCCTCACATTCTGTGGTGATATCAGCAACCTGTGAGCTTGTAAGCAAACCGCTTATCAGCTCCTCTAACTTGCTTGGACTTTCATCTCCAGGTGAGATTTCAAAGATCTCCAGAAGTTCAGAAGCAGTAAGTTTTGGACCAGGAGCTTTCACATCTGTTTCACTCTTCCTTTCACCTGCAACATCCATCTTTTGCTTGCAGGATTCCTGCTTCAGAATATCACACAGAAGATCAGGACTTTTGCAATCAGGCCAAGGCAATGGAAGAGCATCCCTGTCCTTTGCCTCCACACACGCTGTGGTAACCATTAATGTACTTCTAACAGCATTGCTTATTTGCTTGAGATTTGACCCACCGGATGTGTCACTCCCGAGCTGTGTACTTCTAACCATTTTAAGTAAATTTTGCATTAAAACTTTGGTATCAGAATAACTTAGGGGTTCGCCCTCCTGCTTGCAGTAAACGTGTCCCATTTTCAATTTCCTTTGCAGTATATTCCTTAAGTCTTCCATTAGCGTGTCAGTCATTTCGGGCAGCTGCAAAATACTTTCCTTTGCTTGAAAATCTTTGCAGGAACCTAATTCCTTCTGTAATGACTCCATGGACATTTGTTTTTTGGAATCATTTCCAAGTGAAGAAGTCTCACTGGCCTCACATTCTTTCTGGGGATGGTAGTTCAGGTCAGCCCCTGTGCTCCTCACAATCGCAGAAGAAACATCAGTGGTACAGGTACGACTCCAAGAAGGTGGCATTTCACTCCCTTCTCCTGATTCTTTGGCATCCTCAGTACTGCCTAAAGCACCTGCTTTTATTGGGGAAAATTCACCATCATTAATGCCCTTGGTTTCTGAAAAATCTTTAAGAAAGTTGTCAGTATTTTGACAGATACCTCTCACTGTCTCTTCAGCCATGCTGATTTCCTCTGGTTTCACTCTATCAGCCGGGGGACAAGAGTAAGTGTTCAATGGACTCGAATGCATTTCTTTCATGTTTAGCAGAAAATCTTTTTTGTTCTGTATGTCCTCAAAGCAACAGGATTCAGTTTTATCCAATTCTGAATGGCAGTCTTCTTTTCCATCTGTTATACATTGTTTCAAAGAAGCGGAAATGTTAAAATCTTTCTTAAATTCATCTGATTTTGCACTACCTCCGATGTCAAGCAAAGCTTGATCAATTACTTGTTCTTTGGTTGAAACAGGAGTTTCTCTATCAGCTTTAATTACTGATGCATCAAATATTTCCCCAAGGCTTTCCATCTGAATGGGACTTTTACTTTGTCCTGTGATATCACACTCCTCCATAATATTTACCCTATTTTTGTTTTCTGTATGAATCTCACCACCTCTTCCTACTTGACCAAGCTCCCTACTGGTGACTGGATGTACTTGGTCACTAAGAGAACTGTCACCATCACTCACATAAGGCATATCCACAAGGAATTTACTGTCCATTTGGGAAGAACTTTCCTTCAGTTGCTCCATACCAGCCATATCACATAATATTTTTTCCTCTGCAAATACGGCTTCTGTCTGTCTTTGCCCATTATTTGAATGTAACATTGGTGTGGTACTACTGGTTTTATTCACACTATGAATACAGCATTCTGAGAGGAGCAAATCTGTCTGAGTACTTTCATCATCATGTTGCTTTGTGATTGGGAAGGTTGTTACACTAACGTCAGATGTCACAACGTCATCAAGAAGCTGAGAACTTCGAACCTCAAGCTGTGTTTTATTATTTTCTTCACTCTTACAGGACGTCCACTTAGTGTCAAAGGTATTTTCAGACTGAACAGGCTCAGAAGTATCTTGTGACATGTGTTTACTTCTGACACAAGTCCCATATTCATCTTCACTTGTGCATGTAAGACTTGTACATCTTTCCTCAGAAACATCTGATGCAGATTCACATCTTCCTGAGGATTGTTCTTCATTTTCATGGCTAGACTGGGATTGCAAAGTATACCCTCTCTTGTGGCTTAAAGAATAGCAAGAGTCATCAATATTCTGGTTATTTTCATCACTATTTTCTATATCTCCTAAGGAAATTAACAGCTGGTCACCCTTGTTTATACACCGACGGCGTGAGTAAAAAATATCTAATTCTTCGTCACTGTCAGAATCAGTGTCAGAGTCATCATAACTATCATAATCCTCCTCTTCCTGTGTTCCTTCAGATTCATCCTCATAGGAGTCACTTTCCGTTTCTATTTTGTCTTCCTCAGTTCTGTCTCCTGCTTCATACGTCTCCCGTAAAGAACTAAGGCCCCCCTCCTTTCTGCCTTCACTCTCCAGAGTAACTGGCAATTTTTGCTCCTCCTCGCCAAAGCTCCCTGTTCTTTCCCTTTCCTCCTCAGGGTTCCTTTCCATGGTTTCAGCACTTGCAGAAGCTGTATTTAGACTCTCAGGTAGACCTGTCAGATCTACAGGGACACTCCCTCCAACATTAGCTGCAAGCTCTTGAAAAGAGCTGGTTTCTTCTCTCGGGCTTATTAGACCACCTTTCTCCTCTAGAAAACCTAATGGCACTGATGCTCCAGACAATTCTGGCTCTGGTGCATCACCATCCCTCAACTGCAAGGTATCAAAACCATCATCGCCTTGAGGAGTCTCATAGGAATCATCGTCATCAATTTGTGAACTATCATAGACATCACTGTCATCATCATCAACCTGAGGTGTTTCATAGGCATCATCATCATCATCATCATCAAGCTGAGAGCTGTCATCTTCAGAGGGTATCTCACCACGTTCATGCTGCAAGCAGTTACTTTCAAACTGTGAGATGCCATCACCTCCTTCTACTGAAGAGTCAGAACTACTGTCACACAGCAGTAACTTGTCGAATGTAACATCACTTTCTTCTGCTGTGCTGCCACTGTCCCCCACGGGTGATCTATCATCTATACTGGCATCGCCACCCAATGAAGGCCTGCAGTGGGTATCTCCACTGTCCTCCACACACAGTTTACTCTGCAAATCAGTACAATCCTCCAAGGATGGCCTGCCACATATATGAAGATAGTCCTCGAGGGATAGCCTGTTATGTACATCAGTGTAGTCCTGTAGAGGTTGTTGACTGTATCCACTATCTTCAAACTGTAGTGTGTCACCACACCGACTAACCAATTCTTCTGGAGGTCTATATTCAGTATCTGCATTGATAGATGAACCAAGACTTCTCTGAAAATCATCTTTCTTGCTCTTATCCAGTACCATTCTGCTGTTGTCATCTTGTGATATGTGAGGCCCGTAATTTGTGCACCTTTCCAGCTCTCTCCAGGTTTCATTATCTGACAGATCACTCACACTCAAGGAATTACGTAAGGTTTTATCATTCCTCTTTTCATTACCCAGACTGTCTGCCATATACACCTGTTCTTTCTCTGTTTCTGAAATAAGATTTGGATTTGAGTCCTTTGGAAGATACCCTTCAATGTTTCCTGAATTTGCCTTCTGACTGTTAGACTTCGGCAGTTCTGCCCATTCAGAAACCTCCGGAAGACCTCTGAGTGCATTTCTGCTCATGGAATTTTGAGTGCTACTTACTATATTTCTAAGGTCTGTAGGGTTAGTTAACAACATCTCCTGTGTATATTCCGATTGCTCAGTACCAACTGTATTGCAAACATCTGGTCTACACACATGGAGATCTTCTCCTTGCAAAGATATGTAGTTGCCAAAATCTTCAAACTGATTTAATTTACTGTTATTAGAAGTATTCTGAGCACCTGAAAGATCACCCTGAACACTGCCTGTGACATTATTCAAGTGGAAATTGCCAGTTGACTTTAGATTACTTCCTTTTGGGTTCATGTATTTGCTATTAAACTCCATTTCTGACACATCATCACTGTATACAGCATCACCACCTCCCAGCAACATACTGATGGCTTCTTGGAGTTGTCCATCATATAATAAAAGTCTTCTTCCAGTGTTTGCATCCATGTAACTATTTACCATCAGATAAGATATGAACAATTTTTTTGCTTGATCTAAATTGTGACATACAGAGTCTTCTGTGCCAGAATCTTCATGTTCCTCCCCACAGTCATGAAATACAGACGGCACAAATTCATACATCGATAACCATTTTGCAGCATTTTTACAAGGGGACTCTAATTCTTCTACATTGGGCATTTTATCTGGTAAAGTCACATTGGTCAAAATAGACACCGTATTGATGTCTATTATCCCTGATTGTGCAGCCGTATCTAGACTGACTATTTCACAAGTTTCTGGAATGTAAAGTGCAGCTATTTTCTGTCTATCATTTAGTATTTTGAACGCCAGCTCATTTGTTATCATCTCTTGGTGCAAAGAAGTCGATATGGGGAATATTTCACCAGTGTGAGGCCAAATCAGTCCAACAAAGCCTCTCTGTGCTTCTAACACCAGCAGCGCACTAGTGGATGATATCAGGTTGCATTGTACAGCTTCATCAACGGTCAGGCGTTGTCCTGAATTTGGACAGAGGATCCCACCAGTCTGAACCTGATGCGTGAGGATCCCACAAGCAGTGTCCTGATCTATCATCCCTTGTCTCATGGCCTCTTCCACAGTCATTCTCTTCCCTGAGTCGGGGTCAATTATACCTCCAGACATTAACTGAGCACCCAGCAGCCTGAACATTGTTTCCCGATCGATGAGTCCTTCATGGGCTGCCCTCAAAATAGTTATCTTCCTTCCACATTTGAATGTGATTCTGCCTTTTTCTTGTGGTTTCACTGGTAGGAGTCTTAACCCTGTTTTTTCATGTATTACGCTTCTATGAACCATCTGTTCAAGAGAAATCTTCTCAGCACAGTTGGGGTCTATGAGATCTTTACACGTGTCTTGTCTTTCTAGAAGCTTTGTATATAATGTTGGAGAAATCAGGTTTCTCTGGAAAGCACTCTGCAAAGTCAGTTTTTCTCCAGTAGATGGCAAAATCAAGTGCCCACTTGAAAGCTGATTCTCAAGAATTTTAATAGCCAAAGGTTCTGAAATTAGACCTTGTTCTAAAGCTGACACAACTGGAAGATTTGGTAACGATGATTCTGAAATAAGCTTCTTTGCACTATTTAATTCCTGCAACTGCAACAGTGTCTGCTCATCAATTAAAGCATGAGCTTTAGCTTCTTCCAAATCGTAACATGTTCCTAATTCTGGAGAAATGATTCCAGAAAGGATCAGCTGATTCTCGAGCAATCTAATTCCAGTGTCATAGTCAATAAAACCTTTTAAAATAGACTGAAAGACTGAAAGGACTTCACCAGTCGTTTGGTCAATGACACCAGCAATGACTTTATTCACCTAAAAAGCAATATAAAAGAAAAGCTGTCACTATTTTCAGACTGTGTATTTTAATTTTCTTTTGATTTTAAATGCATGATAAGCATAAAAACAGGTACTTACCAGGCCTTGAGGAATGCTGTGAATGTTAGCAGCTCAAAATGTGCAAGTGATCTATGTCAGTCATTCAACAGCACACGATGTGATAAAAGATTTTAAATCAACATGCATCTGTGAATTGAAAACCTAGGCTTTGCATACATAAATAGGGTTAGTGAAAGACAATAGAAGAAATGATTGCAGAGTGAGCAAATAGAACATATACCTGAAAGGCAAATTTTCATGCTCTAAATGTCTGTGAAAGGTTAGAATATTTGGAAACAGTATGTGATTCAAAACAACCACCATGCTATTCATGTTTACAGCATACAGCACTTCTGTAAATACACTCAACAATATGGAATCAGATACTCCAGCACCAAATATAGCATTTAGTTTGCATGGAAAGCATGAAGTCAGTTTGGCAACGTTATCTGAACTAATTACACAGACACTGCCTCTATGTGTATATGAGAACACTCATTTCCAACATAATTTTTGACAATTCCATATTTAAGATTCATTAACAAATGTATTTGTAGTGTCTCAGAGCTAATCACGTGATGTGCTCCCATTTTCATATCCAGATAAATTTTAAGAAAAACCAAAAGTAGATCTCTTCTAGGACATTTCTGAGTGATATATGGGAGATTAACATGTTATTTTATGGTGACGTTTTTGCAGCAGAAACACAGACTTATCTAGCAGTCAAAGAATGGCTTTTAAGAGAAGAGTTAAGAGATGAATGATTTGTTTATCCTTCTTCATGCAAGGCACACGTTATTAAGACTCTTCACAAAAAAATCTGGAAAGCAGAATGTTCGTATGCACAGGTAAGGTCACACACAGTATTCCATAGCAAATACACAAAACCTGCAGTCAATTACATCTCAGGTTCCTTTACACACTGTTAATTGCAGCTGGTTCTTCCACCGATCATGTGGGGTTCCAAAACCATGCAGCAAACCTCAAAAGAGACTCAAATGTAACTTTCAATCTCGTTACCTTTTCTTCCATCTTTTCATCACCCAGATACTGTGCTTCCTGCAGCTGCTTCAAAGCTTCATTGGATAACAAGCTGTAGCTCTCCTGGAGGGATCTGACTTGCTTTTCCATTTCATTTCTTTCTTCATCTGTCATTCTATTCAGAAGAAAAGAAAAATGCAAGGAGATGTCTGAGTAATTTCTAACCTGCAGGGAGAGATCTGCTTACCCTGACTTTAAAAAAAGGGGTTGAAATTAGTAAAAGTGGTCTGAAAAAAAGAGACTTTAATTACAGAATGTTCAAGAAAGCTACGATCTGCTTGTAGTCATTCAGGAAAAGAAGCGACATTAATCTAGAATTTATGCAGAATTATCACTTTTTAACATTTGCCTGTGCCTTTGCCTGCTGATTCCCAGTCAAGACACAGCTAGCAAGGAGTCCTCAGCAGTTTAGGATCTTAAACCAGTTTGATTTCAGACACAGATGAAACAAACTTGTGGCATATAGTTCCAAGTATTAATTTACTACTAATTTGTTAATTAGCTTGACTTCTAATGAAAAAATACTGTCTAATGTTTTTAAGCTGACCGGAAATAGATAGTTTTCAATAGTCAAATAGATAGTCAAATTCTTGAAATAAACAAAATAAAATAATAATAAAAACAAAATAAACAAAACTGCATCAAGCTCCCACCAACAGGAAGCCGAAATTATCAAATTAAAAGAAAAAAAACCTCCCATATTTGTATGTGAAATGTAAATGGAACTGGAAGGTGAGGATATAATTTCTTTTTAAGCAAAGGGTATGTACTGATTCAATTAATTTACACTACTTGAAAAATAAGAAGTGCCATACTTGTCACTGTGCTTAGCCAAAAAGGACTGAGTGGTCTGCAGAGCTTCAGCTATTTGTTCTTTCTTGGTTGACATTTCATCCAGGGAAATCTGAAAAATAAACAACCTGTGTTCAAGGCTTAACTACGCACGTATATAAAAAGAAAAACAAACAAGCAAACAACATAATATTTCTATCTGCGACTAAATAGCATAAGAACTTTAATTTTTTTTCTTCCAATATCAGCTATTCTTAGGCATAATATTTCTATCTGTGACTAAATAGCATAAGAACTTTATTTATTTTTTTTTCTTCCAATATCAGCTATTCTTAGAGTGAGATTGTATCGTTAATACACGGATAAGTTGTTGTGCCATGCCTTATGGGTAAGTAAGTTGTTTGTATTAGAAAACTATTAGGTGCGTTATTTACCATGGAATTGTATTGTTTATACACAGATAAGTTGTGCCATGCCTTATGGTTAAATAAGTTGTTTGTATTAGAAAACTATTAGGTGAGACAAAAAGGATTTATTTTTAAATACTATTTGTTTGAAAATTAACCAATCATGTAAAACCACTTATTGCAGTTGGCACAGTTTAAAAGCAGCTTTATAAAGATACGTGTATGATGCTCACATTAAAGAAGCTGCTCACCATGAGGAGAAATAGTAACTTTTTAAAAAACGATACCAGAAGGCCACAAACCCTCATGAAAATTAAACAACAGAGACAAATGCAGCATCAGACACTTGGAAAAAATTAATTACGTATTATATTCTCCCTGCTGTCGATGCTCACGTTAAAGAAGATGCTCACCATGAGGAGAGATAGTAACTTTTTAAAAAACCCTCATGAACATTATACAGAGACAAATACAGCATCAGACACTTGGAAATAATTAATTACGTATTATATTCTCCCTGCTGTGATTTCTGTGTCACCTTCACTGAAGCACTTGTTCTGGCAGAGGCAATTGTGAGAACGTTATCTTTGAACTTTTCTGAGAAACTGCCTGTAGTGCCTTCAGAGAAAAACTCTAATTTTGGATAAATCAAGGCAAAGTGTCAAAGGGGAGTCTAGGCCTTCATTTGCCCAAGATACGTTCAATGCTGGTGCCAAGAGGACTCTATAGCGAAGTGCTCGGGCCCCTGGGTCTGGACACAACCAGTGTCAAGGGCTGATGAACGTGGTTGTGAACGGAGCCTCCCTTTGCAATCAGCAGCCACGAGCCACCACCCCACCACCTCTGCTCCTTGGAGGGAATCTGAGAAATCAAGCACTGTAGGTGACAGGAGCAAGCTGAGGTAGCAGGTGGCATCATCAAGCTCAGCAGCCACGAGCCACCACCCCACCACCTCTGCTCCTTGGAGGGAATCTGAGAAATCAAGCACTGTAGGTGACAGGAGCAAGCTGAGGTAGCAGGTGGCATCATCAAGCTCCACTTTGCTCATGGAAGTGGCCTCACTGTGGCTGCTGTGTGTGCCCCGCTGGTGTTGGCATCAGCTTCTCTACCCTCTCCACAGTGACACCCCAACGCTACACCCACCCTACACCACACAGCAACTCCAAACCACTGTGTGAAATGTATTTCAGCTAATGTTAGCTATCAAATCACTGCATGTTTCTACAAACTGGTCAAGGCACCTGTGCTAGTCAGTGGAGACATAAAACCAGGCACCCCTGGAAGGTGACCCTACCTCGCTGGGCCATTTCTCAAGGGAGAACACCCCTCTCCCATGGGCTGGAGGAAGCTGAGGTGGCTGACTTGCAGGTTACCTGCTGAGGGCTCAGGCTGGGAAGGGAAGACACCAGCCACAGTTGCCCTGATAAGCTGAGATGCTCTATAGAGTTGGGCACCGGCCCAACGCTGATGGTTTGTGCTGTTGCCATTAACAACTACTGAAAAAGACCAGTGTTGAATATTTCTGCAAATCCTGATCCTAACTATTAGTGATTTACCAATCAATACACTCAAATCAATACTTGTGCCTATGGTATAGGGACAGACTCGGTAACGGACCACCACCGGTCCTCAACCAACAAGCAGTGGCTGTGGGACCAGTAGGACTGCCCACCTGCCTCACACCAAGCTTGATTTAGGCACATGGTGCTCCAGTGGCTCTAACTGGTACCAGCACGTGTGACCAAATCAGGACCAGGCTGCCAGGAGGGCCAAAATCACATAGGCATGACCACCCATCCAGCCCTGTACTGAGGGATGTGGAAAAGAGACCGCTCCATCTCTCTGCTGCTCTAGTGTTGACCCTCAACACTGAAAGGTAGACCTTTCCTCCCTAAGGTAGACCTTCACCTCCTGAAAGTAGACGTTCACCTCCTGAAAACTTTTTAGGTGTCACTAAGCTATTTTGTGGGCTAGGTCTAGCACCGGAGCTGTTAGAAATGACAGCCAACTTCACAGATGGAAATTTATGGGTCCGAGTTACACCTGTACACAACGACAATGTACCTGTTAAACACAAAGGTGGCAAGATGGGCCACTCCAGCAGCCTGGAGACGAGTGAGAGAATGTTCAGTCAGCACCTGCTGTATTCCCCAAGATGGTAATTTTGACTATCCCATAAGATGACCCCTCAAAATAACTTTTTAAAAGGAAAAAAACAAAGAAACCTAGCCCTCAGGCCAACTCTCCCCTTCTTGGTGCCAGGCTGGAAGCTACCAGGTTCACCCAACTCCTTCAGGACCTACCAAGTGCCATCCTGCCAGAATGCACTGTCCCTCTCCAAAGGCTGAGTTACAGCCTGCAGGGTCTAGTTTCCCTGAAGTGATGCTGTGTGGTGTCAGATTGTGTCACACGCTGGGCCTGCCAAAAGCAGCTTCTGCTTCTTCCCGAGTAACACGTTTGTGTTCCTAAACATTGGTGTTCCTTCACCCAACCCTCCACTCGTAACCAAATGTGAAATTTTATCTTTAGGAAAATGCGGATGGTGATTTGGAAAAAAAGTATTTATGGAATATTTTCTCACGCTTTAATCAACACAGAAAGCTAAAGAGAGGAAGTGGTGCTTTACCAAAAGACGTCCGTGTACCTGCTGCTTAGGTAAATCTGTCTTTTCAGCCTTTTCTCCTTCTTCTTTGCTGAGTGTCTTGCTGAGATTTGACACCCATTTCAGTAAATCCCCCGCTTTCTCAACATGCTCCTTCTTCTCTTCCGCCATTGACTTCTGACGAGCACCACAAATTGTAAAAAACATGTAAATGTAAATTGCTGGAGTATTTAACATCGCTGTCCCTAGAAACACAATTCTACCCCAATGGCAGTATTATCACATAAACATAAAGTGATTGCTTTTTATTTATCACCACGTGCATTACTGCGACACTTTGATGTAGGAACAAAAATGCCACGTAATTACAGACATTAACAAAATAATTCCTCAAATTATTCGTAATCGTCATTATGATGCTTATTCATACACATGCACATTCATTATAAAATGATTGATATTAAGAAAAAGCATAGCTTCCCAGCCACTACTCAGCAGATAAAATCTCAACAATATTTGCATATAGAGTATCTTTGAATTGCTGCCTTTGCATTACCCTCAGGTGTGGATATGTACAGCCAGCATAGGAGATCAGGATTTCACAATCTATGCACATGGATTACTAAATTACAATTAGGAAGAATACATTGCTTTTATGTCTACATAATAGAAGTAAAATACTGAGACGTTTCATCTTTTTCTGCACGGAAAGACACATTTCTTTTTATAGTAGTACAAACTGTTAGTAGTTTGAAACCCAGCAAAGTTTAAGTGCTTAAACCCTTCCACGTACCACAAGAATTTTTTTTAAATTTGATATGTTATTGCAACTCACTTGCCTATTACAGCATGAAAACAATTCTAAAAAAAAATGTGAGATGAAATGAGAGAAAAAAAATAGGATATGAGTAGCCCATTAAAATTAATCACATACCAATGTGAGAAAAATTACTTATGCATACGTGTTTACTAGACTGCAGATTCAACCCCCATATACTTTATTGCCACTTTCGGAAAATAAATGATACCTACAAATTGATTTGTAATATTAAATGAAGTATCAGGTCAGATGAAACACCGCACTGTCTTCATTTGCAAAATGAGCGATTTTAAATGTCAGAATCTGAGTCTTGTCTCACCTAAATGGACCCATTTTGCACTAATGTTCATTTCACCAATCCGGGTCTAAGATTTGCTTTACACGACCTACACATAGATAACGTCACACCAGGCCTTCAGGAAAACACTGAACACATAGTCTGCATTTTGAAGTTATGAACCTGCCTAAGTTTATCTAAAAATTTCAGCTTTGCAACAAGTAAGATCTAGTTCCAGTTTAAGTGGTTTGTGCTAATTACTTTTACAGTAACTTATGATTACTTTAGAATATACCATTTACGATTTTCCATAAAGGCCACCTTAGATCTTTTCCTTGACTTGAACGGGCTTCAAGCTGGCCCCAAAATGACCACTAACATCTTTATTCCATTACGAATTATAGTAAAGACTGGAAATTCCTGTTTTCATGGGCTGAGCTGCTTCTAACAATCGCAGTCCAGTGTGGCAATCAAAAACAGCTGTCTCTAAAGCTTCTTTGTAGGTGACCTTCTTCTTCGTTTTGGGGCACGTTAAAACTTTAACATAGGATTTTTCATCTTTCATCTTTGTAGCCGTGACAGCATCAATAATACCATTCTTAATCGCGTCTTCCATCGTTAATCTGGAGTGAGACTTTGGATCTATCAACCCACCAGTCAGATACTGATACTCCAGGCAGCGCATACCCAGTTCTTTGTCTACAGCATTTACGTGCATGGCTTCGATAGCCGACATGACCGTGTTCCTCACGGGGTGAATGATCCCCGTGAAGATCAGCTCACACTGCTGGATCTGCTTGGCGCAACCATCATCGATTAACTCCCTTTGCAAAGCTTCTGAAACGCTGTACTTTTTCCCAGTAAATGGATCGATGATGCCTCCTGTACTAACCTGAGCTTCCAGGCACCGGAGGGCAGTAACTCTATCTACCAAATTTTTGCGCGAGGCTTTTAAAACTGGAATTCTTTCATTGGTTTCAGAAAGCCAGAAGCCTGCAATAGGACTGTTTAAATCTTTATCTGGCTGTGAACTGCTAACTAAAATATCCCCAAACTCATTAGCTGTGATTAAACCCTCCTTATATTTATTGACCAACGCTCTGCCAATTCTACCCTGATTTAAGGTCTCCTCGATGTTAAACTGTATACCTGTTTTAAGATCTGTAAGCAAAAGAAAAGAATTCCCATCAGAGTCAAAACACGTAGACTCCTTCCAATCAAATTCCTGTTTGGAAAGTTCAAGATACGTATCTTTATCAACATAACTTTTTTGATAAGCCTCATACGAAGTCATTTCAGCTCCTGTTTTGATGTTTACTACAGAAATTTTATGACTTCTCTCTGCCGATGGGCTGCTTATTTTCCTTTCACCAACTGGAAGAAGAAAGCATTTACTGCTCACGCTGAACAAACACATTTTCAGCAAATCACAGTAGTACATAGCTTTCCTGGTATTCGGATTGTGAAAACATTTCGAGTTACTAGAAGGTTCATGCAAAAATTTTAAAATTGTGTTATTAAGCAAGCCAAGCTGCACGGCGGTTTCCGGAGGTACGCGAACACTTCTTACAGGATCAATAACCCCTCCACTTGCAATCTGAGCCTCAAGAATGTTTTTACCTCTTTGCCTTTCTAGGAGTCGAGCCTCCACAGCCTGATACACAGAGATCAGTTTCCCAGAAAAGCAATAGCCCAAAACAGCTTTCTCTGCCTCAAGCAGTCTACTCTTGAATTCGTTATCTACAAGCCCTCTCATGACTGAATCCTCAACAGAGAACTTCTGACCTGTTGTGGGATCAATGATGAAACCAGTAGCTGCCTGAGCCTCTAAAAATGCTAAGGCCAACGCTTTTCCTATGATTTTTCTCTTTGCTGCTAAAGCAAAAGAGAGTACCTCTTTGCTGGATTCAAGGTACAGTCCAGCTATAGCTGTAGGTTTGGTTAAAAATTTTTCAAGACTTTTCTGAACCTCATCAATAGTTTTCTGCCCTGAACGGAGCTGCTCGACTGTGAGCCTGTCTAAAAGCTTGACTTCAACCAACTGTCTGGCAGTTACATCATGTCGGAGACCTTGAAATTTAATAGCATCATATTCCTCTGTAAAATATTCCAACTGCGCAGCATCATCAACAGTTTTCAAAATCTCTTCTCCTAAGAAAGAGCACATCTTTGCAAAGTCTTCTCTCCTAAACCCTTCGGATGTTTTGTATCCCTCAAACATTCTCTCTTCATTACCAAAAGTCTTGTCTTTTTCTTGGTTTAATGTTGTCACTTCAACATGCATGTCATACTGCTTGTTCTTCACTATCTGTAAATAGGAATTTTTGGACACAATGAGAAATACATCTGCAGAACTAGGCTGTGCATAATTCACTCCGAAATCCACCACCAGAGAAACAACAGGGAGAACCTGAATGCAAGTCAGAAAGGGGAACCGCTACTAGCATTGGAGAGCAGAGAGATGTAAATATCTAGAGTTTTAAAGTGCATTTGACATTTCAAATATTTATTCAGTAACAGGAATATGACTAGAGTAAGCACAGTAACTGTTGTGTGCTACTACATGAACTTACTGCTCTTAATTGAAGCTTATTTTCACCAATCCCGATACAGCGGTGTACGTGAATTCCTACAAACTTTTAAAATAATGTGTTTCTTAGATATTAAGAAACCTGCCATGAGGACCTAATTAAAAACTTTTTGTGTCAGCAAGAATGAAGGGGTTCCCTTCACCAAGGTAAGAACGTAAGAAACATCAGAGAGAATACAGAATAGCGATAAAGCGTAACTAAAACCAACCAACCAGACAGGATAGTAAAAACCAGCACTAGGAAGACAAACCCTCACAAAACGTAGTGTGTACCTCCAGGGGATGCAGTTTTACCATTCCTAATTCGTGTTTCATGTCTTCTCCATGTCTAATAGTTTGTCTGGAACTGTGTAGGTTCCTGTTTCTCAATCTGTCCCTTTCAGACGTCCCAGAGATTTGGCTGGCTTTATCAAAAGTTATCTGGAACTCCGTGCTCGTTTGAGAAACAAACTCTGTAAAAGATGGTGGGCCTGCATCTTCTTCTAGAGCTTGGTTTATTCTTGACACCTGGAGCTGCACCTCTCTTGGTATCGTATCATCGGTGCTCACATACAAGGTATTTTCCTCTATTTGATCAGATTTAAAACCCGATCTCTCCTGTTTCTGCCTTAGCAAAGGCGAGCCAGGTTTTGCACGTGGAGGAAGCTGATCAAATTCTCTAGCTGCAGTGTCACTCAGGTAATTGAAATCATTGCCTCTTCTCTCACAGTTCAGTTTAAATCCAGCATCTTGGAGTCTATTATTTTGCTGAACTTCATTCTGAACCAAAAGAAACCTGTGTTCACTCTCCTTGACCTGCAGGTCCATTTTCTGTTTCAAGCTCTCAACCGTGCGCTTCTGCGCTTCCAGTTCTTCCTCGAGTCTCCTGCACTTCTGGTGATAGTCCATCTCAGCCTGCTTCCCTTGCTGCAGTTGTTCCTGACATTTTTTAAGCCTTTCTTGCAGATCCTCCATTTGGATCTTGTACAACATGACGTTTTCCTCAGCCATATGCTTTTCCTGCTGAAGAGCAATACATTCTAGTTTTATGCCAGAAACATCCTTTTCTTTGATGCTATGGGATTCCAGTAATTTTTCAACTTTTTTCCTAAACTCCTCTGCAGAGTGTTTAAATTTAATGGATTCTTCCTGAAACAGAATCATCTTCTTGCGTGCCATTTGTTCATCCAGAGTCTTCTGATGGAGTTCATCCTGTAATTTTTTTAATTTACTACTTAGCTCTTGTATATGAGCTTGGTGTAATTGTATCTTCTGCTCATTCATTCTCTTTTCCATAGCTAGGGCATTCATTTGGGCATTTAGATTTTGAACCTCCCGGTCAATGCTTAGGGTAGAAGCACTTTGTTTATCACATTTTTGTTTATATTCACTAGCTAAGTCTTTTGCTTTTGCTAGATCAACTTCTAGGCTTTTGATTTTACATATGAATTCTTGCTCAATTATTGTTTGCTTGTGCAATTGTTCGTTTGTTGTGTGCAGTTGCTCTTTGAAACCATCTGCCAGGGCTTTTAACGCATCATTTTTCTTCTGAATGCTTTGCTTTTCCAAAGTAATTTTTTCTGATTCAGACTGAATTTGTTTCATCAGTAGTTTTGTTTCAGTATTCCATTTATTAAGGTCCTCTATCTCTCTTTTCAGTGTTCCTGACATCTGATTACTTTTGGCTAATTCATTCTTCAGCATCTGAATTTCCCGGTGGTTTTCTTTCTCCACTTTTGTTTTTTGAAGCAACTGCTCCTGAATTTTCTTATACTGGTCTTGAAGATTATTTGCTTCTCCTTTGCAGGACTGTGTTCTCTGTTCAGCTGCCAGCTTCTCTTTTTGAAGAGAACTGATTTGTGAATTTAAATGTCTGATAGTGATTTCAGCTTTTGCCTGTGATCTAGTTAATTCCTCTACTTCTCTTCTTAGCTGTGTCTTTTCTTGTTGAACAGATTTCAGCTCCTCCTGATAGTTCATCTTAATTTTCTTAAGATCTATAGCTTCTTGCATCACCTCCTCAGCTTTATCTGTGGTTCTGTGCAGCTGCTTGTCCAGTTCTTTCAATTGTTGCAAATATCTCTGCTCTGCTTGGTCTTTTTCCTCCAACTTAATTTTGAGGCATTTAAGTTCACTATTGACTTTATCTAGTTTTTCTT